GGTCAAAGAATTTTCACATAATCGATTTTAACAGCTAACAGCTTCAGCGCTTGACATGCCGCCATTGTCACTTTCACACATTCCAAATTGCATTGCTGACGTCTTTCCTCTAATACGTGGATGCTCATGACGTCATCGGCAAACCTAGATAAGCGCCAAAGTCATAGTGTAAGTGGATATTTATAAATATTACCCATTAAGGAGAATGTCTATGAACGAGTAAAAATATTACAAAGGATAGACAACTTAAATAGAAAAGGGCGACTGTTAGAACAAAAGAACAGAAAGGGATGGCAAAACAAAGAGAAATACTTAATGGCCGACCTCAAGTGTCGAAAGCGAATGGAAGTTGTGGGTGACGACATCGCTTGGCTATATTAAGCTACATATTAAGGCATATTAAGATATCAAAGTCTATTAATAGCCAAGCGATGTGCGTCAAATGTTAACAGTTAAAGCAAAGCAAGGGTGAATTACGCATGTAAATATGTATGAATAGGCATTAGGATGGATCGTATACTTCCTAGCAAATTTAGGTCCTTAAATTTTTAGGAAAAAATGCAATGAGTGCAAAACTTTAAAGGCATTTATGACTTCATATATATCTTAAAATGATTGAAATTTTCTAATGCACACATCATACCTTACTATGATTTAACTTTCCCTCTTGTAGCAGATTTAAATTTGCATTTTCAAAAAAAAAAAAATATCCCTTGGTCCAACATTTGCATTTGATTTTCCTACGGTTAAATGACACCCAGATGTCTTAATCTTTCTCTATCTACAGCTTTGCGGTGTCTCGTTTGTAGCTTACGGAAGCGACAAGACACTTCAGAGCTAACTATGAGTCTATGCATAAGAGAGAATTCAAAAAAGTTCAGTCAGTTGGTGGCTTTCAATTTGTTTTTGTTAAATTTAGAATTACCAAGTCCTTTTCAATTATATTATTAGTCTTTTTATCAAAGTTTAGAACGATCGGCTGAAATGGAGACGAGAAAACGCAAGATAACTGAAGATAGGTCAGGCGAAATTCGACAACCAACTTAAATAGAAATTCGCCATCTGATTCCCTTCGGATATCAACGTAACTTACGGCCCATAAAAATATTTAGTAAACGGAACGATTGCACCTTCTTTAACCACTATTTATAAGTGGTTCTGAAGGTTTCAGACCGGACACTTTTCCATAGGTGACGGTACCCGAGAAGGTAGACCAAAATCTTCCGCTGGTGACGTCACTATAGCTCTGGTGAAGTCCAAAATTGACAAAGGCCCATGATTGACACAAGTTGATTGCTAATGAATCGGACTCGAAAGCCATTAGTATATCGTGAATATTAAGTTAATCTTCTGGGGTACACGAATATATCTGCTCGATGGGTACCACGAATATTAATTCGAGTGCTTTTTGCTCAACTTTTCCTAAACCAATACAAAAATCGTCAGTCTCGCAGCTTTAGTAAAGTCGTTAGTGATGACGAGTCTTGGTTCTATAAGTACGATACAGGAACCAAACAACAATTTATGGCATGGAGCCCAACAAGAGCAAACCCACCCGTAAAATCTAAGCAACAAAAATCAACAACAAAAATAATCATGCCAGTTTATTTCACCCGATCTAAGATCGCAGCTGATATTCCGGGAAAAAGTCTGGCGGTAACTGCAAAATGTTACCCCAAAGAGTACTTATCAAAAGTTTTCAAAAAAATTTTTGGAAAACAGGAAGAAAGAGGATTTGCCGCGCTACTTTTTACATCATGACAACGCACCTTCCCACCCCACTGAAATACGAGTAATTTTATTGCGATTTTTGGGATCGAAGAAATACGTCAAGCACCATAAAGCCCCTTGTAATTTCTGGTTATTTCTAAAAATTTAAAAATATTAGTAGGAAAGGTCTTCAATAGCAACGAGGAAATATTTAATGCGATTTATGCTGGACTTGATAAGCTTAAAGACTAGATTTCGGACACTGTTTTCAGAAGTGGATGCATTGAGAGCAATGGCGATTGTATAGAGATGACAATGATTGTATAGAGAGGACGAAGATTACAAATAAATTTTAAAATAATTTTTTTTCTGGTCAACTTATCGAACTTTTGTTAGTTCCCTCCTATACTTACGCAGTCCACTATGTGCTACGAGAAACCCTGATAGTATTCTTAAGTTGCTCTTACTGAGTATAATTATGCATCTAATTTTTCTTGTATTGTACCCATTAGTGTCCATTAGCTTTTTTGCTTGTCTCATCCCGTCACTAGTATACCAGTACCTGTTTTTTATATTCATTTCTCAATTTCTTAGCTCCTTCTTGATTGTCTGAGGGCTTATGGGAAAGAAGACCTTTGGTCCTATAGGCGAGTTTGATGCCGCTTCTTTCGCAAGTCTATCTTCTAATTCGTCCTCTCCAATACCATTCCAATGCAAATGAGCCGAACTTTGTTGCGTTCACCCACCTAATTGTACGTAATTTATAGGCAGAAAGAAAATTCTTCTAAAAAGCCGCTTGACAGAAATATGTTTTCCAGAAACATTTATTTCAGGCGTATTTCACGCCCGACTTTCCCACTTAGTAGTGCTCAAGGAATCATTACAAATACTTACGCGATTATAGCTGAATTAAAACTGGAGTGTTCTTATCCATCCATCCGTACCACATGACTAATCCAGCGCAGCCATTAGTTCTTAATTTGCTGAACTACATATGTCAATGTCGCCGTATATCTCGTACAGCTCATCGCTCATAGTTCATAGTTCCCAGCTCGCAAAGGACCATAATTCTTACGCTAAGGCTTTATCTCAAAAACTCCTACCTCCTCATTAGATGTTGTCATCGTCCATGTACCATAAATCATGACGGGAACGATGATCGAAAGTAGCACCTGGATTCTACACTGGATTTCCACGCTGACATTGTGGTTGTTGTTGGCACTGGTTCCAAGATAAACAAAGTTATCTACTAAGAGGAACATTAAAGTAGCTCGGAACGTTACGATTATTACAAGCTCGTAAGCTCAGATGTTGACAAATTTGTGGTATAAATCCTTTGCTTTAAAACTACCTTCTTATAATTCACCGCTTACAGTTCCTCTGTTAGCTGTTTGGCATCAATTAGAGATACCAAAAGAAGGCAGATCCTTGTCCACCAAATCTCCCCAGTGAAATAGAGGTCCTTCTCTTTCTCGAATTCCACCCGCGGGTGCTGCACTGAGAACTTTCAAAGCTGGAGTATTCCTGCCCATATGGTTTATGTGACCTAACGACCAAATGTCGTAGCGTCTGATTATCAGTAAAAGAAAAACCCAACAATTCCTATGGGTCACTAGGCGTACGTGCGCTTGCGCAGAGTTGGAATTGTTGTTGATGCTGGTTCTGCTAAGGAGATTCCTTTCACCTTTCCAAATGCGCAAACCACTTTGTGTGTTTTATGAAGTTCAATACATTAATGACGCCTACCGAGGCAAACTCTGTAAGATAAGTGAAGAAGATATTTCCTAGAAAACGTTAACGGACCGTACTAAGAGCTGGGCAGTGATAGACGTTGTGTTGAACCGATTTCTCCTATGACCAGGGACCCAAACCTTCGACATTTCACATGGAGTCGAGAGTTAGCTTTAGGTCTTTCTTCTAGCACCCTCGCAAAACATTTTCCAGTTTGCTCCTATGCTATAGTCGTTCTGCGCCAAGTATAAGCTTAACAGATTCTCGACCTCTATTTGACTCACGAAATAACATTACTTTTGTCTCATGTCTTACTTCTCAGAAAGGTTCAATATACGTCCCATTCTAAAAAGACCCCTCCTTTGGCCAGCTCGTCAGCTATCCCGTTGCCTTCAATGCCCGTGTGGCTTTGCAACGAATAAATGTAAACTCTTCAACTTCCTTAAAGTCAGTTTATTCATACGCTAGAGATAATACCATACTAGTATGCCCGTAAGTCCTGACTTTCAGCTGCCGGTAAGCACATAGCTTCCCAGCATATAGGAAGTCTCTGTCTTTAGTCACCATATTTGCCGTCAAAATGCTTAAAATTTCATGAAGCGCTGCAGATGATGTTGTTTTGAGTGCCCCAATAATGTTGGTCATTGAAAGTCTAAATACTCTTTCCAAGCTATTCAGATATGTTAGTATGCCCATAGCTTTCCAACATATTTAAGATCCATAGAAAAGTATCAGCTTTAAAGCAGTAATGAGAATCCATCCCCCACTGGGAGAGCAACCAAGGGCAGCCCAAGATCAATTTACTGCTATACAGGGCCGATCGTGCGTTCTTCACTCACTCCTCTGCATTGAGCCTCCACGACAACTTGCTATCCAACACAATTCCCAGATACTTAGTGCAGGGTTTCAGCTGTGAAGTAGCCTCTCCTATGCTTGGATTGATCCAAGCTGGAATTTTATATTTTCTTGTGAATAGGACTATATCTGCTTTATGAGTATTAACCTTGAGTTCTGCTGAAATAATGCAGTTATTATTGATTCTAAATACCTGATACTTTCAACGCAAATTTCCAGACACATCCCGCCTCACGACGTCGAAGCCCCATTACGTTTAGATCTCCTTGCAACGTAGCGAGACATGTATCCAATCCCAAACGACAGTTTTTATTCTTGTTTAAGAAGTTGTTGAACGCTCCATAAGCATATCGAGGAAAATGCCCAAACCATATCCCCCATTTGAGGTCTCTTTGGAGTATCTTTGTGGATTAATTTCCTAACTCATCCCAAGTATGTACTTCTTGGATTGCACGGATGTTATGTAGAGATGGTGTATATGGTCCAGCTCTAACACCTCACAATGTTAATTGTACCATATATTTTGTATGGATTGGGGTTGGTTTTGGAGTACACCATTGTCCGCGTGCAATCATCGGCTAAGCACAGAGCGGTAACGAGACGTAAATTGGTCCAACAGTTCATGATAGAGAGTAACCATCTGAACCACAAATTTTTACAGGAGAGTTTTTTATTTATTTACTTCTACATGTACATATGAATATGTATGTATAAAAAACGTCGATGTATAGAAATATATAAATTTTTACATATGTATAAAAAATGAAATAAATTTTCATTCACCTTTCCAAACAATATTCTCAATGAAATCCAAATTATCATAGACACTAATAATTTGATGGGAAAAATAAGAAGCGTCGCGATTCTCACTCTTCGAATCTACAGCAATTAGTCTATCCTTATCATTTATACCATTCGCCAATAGAACTATGGGTCCATTAGAAGCGGTGTACATATCAATTGTTGTGCCGTTATCATTTTCAGTACATATTAGATTAGACAGGTGGCTCTCTCCAAGTGTCAAACAATTTTTATAAGCGACAATTCGAGAACGAATTTGTCCCGCGCTAAGCTTCGAAGTTTCATCTATTTGTAAGAAATTTGAGTTTTGCTAAAAAGTTCATTATATTTATGTAGGAATATACGTTTATATTCGTATATATACTTACCATAATATGCATAATAAATGTAAGCGTCCTTTAGCGGTATAGTTGGAGATGTACATAAACAAATCGGATATAGGTTTGCGGAATACAATAATTCGTTCTCCAATTCAACCAAACCAACATAACTGTTGTCTCTAGAATATCTAGAGAATTTTGGATGCAAATGAACTTTCTGAAATATTTACGAAATGAAAATCAATAAATAATGGAACCCTATATTACATCAAGTCTGCATCGTAACGATAAATTTCACGCTAAACAAACAAATTTCACTCGATTCATTTGAAACCTATGGAAATGCAATCGTTAAAATAGTTTTCCAAATAAAATTTGTTTCGTTCTTACCCGAAACGAAAAGCTCTCGCTAATGTTAACCCGTTAACAGCTAATATTAAATAGTTAACAGCGAATGTCAAGCCATTAACAGATTATATTAAGCGTTAATATTGAAGTGTACTGTTAATAGCATAACAAGCAGCTATGTATTTTTAACAGATCCATTTCGCTTGATAACAAACGAAATAAAATCATTTCTGTAATTTTATTTTTCATATTAGCAAATGGAAATGACACCGTTTCGTTAGTTGTGCATCTCTGCTTAAAACCCATATTTACCTTAACATTGCCTTCCACATTTCTTGCATAACCCAAACGTACCGCATTAACGTCGACCTTAGATAAACATTGAGATGTAGCAATTACAAAACGCTTTTCGATCAATGCACCCATACAACGGTGACGATAACTGTATATACGTTTTATCCCAATACTGGCCATGTAGTAAAAATTTTCAATGGCTAAGATTGGTGGCTTGTTTCGTTTTGTATTTTCACAAGCTGGAAATAAAATATATACGCATACAAATAGACATACATAAATATTAAACTAGTATTTTTTTTGTTAAAATCTCGACTCTAGTTTTGCAAAAGATAAGCAGAACTCAAAAGTAACTAGAAGCTTCGACCTCATATAGCGTTTTTTTTTTATATTTTCTTCAATTGTAAAAAATTACGAAGAGTTCTAATTAAGCTTCAAATATAAATGTAAGTCGATATCTGGTCTACCGCCTGGAAAATAATAAATTACAAAATTTCAAGTTGAGTGAACCATTAGCGCATTTATTCCAATAAGTCGGTCCCAAGACAACTTCTCGTGAAAGGAGTTTTCAAAACCAGTCTCAAACATACCTAAACTCATACAAAAAATTTTATCAAACTCGTTTCAGTCATTTGAACTGCCGCCCATATGCATGTTATTGTTATTGGCATGCTTATGTGAATAAGTTTTTAAGTTATTTTTATTTTCAATTTAAAAATTGAAGTAATGTTTTTGGTTTAGAATAATTATTTTGAAATATATTTTCTTTTGACTTAAATGAAAACGTAAAAATTTTGGCTAGTATTACAGACTAAACTGAGGTGACCTAGTTCCCAACTGCTATGACCGAACCAGTAATTTACAACTCTCACAAGAGCCGGTTCTACGCACCGGAGTTGAACTGGATTCTTTACGGCCAAGGGCTGTCACCCTTTTGGCGATCTAACCCCATTTAGGTCAACAGATAAGAACCAGTATTTTAACTCGTGTATATGAACTGATGTATATCATGACAATTTACAGTTCGTGACCATCGCTGTCTTAAAATATCTCTTGATTACATGGAAAATGTATCGCTAGGAATATTACAGAATTTGAGAGAGGGTTACAAAAGGCCACGCTTACTTTGAGGTGGTAATTGATTTCCATTTCGTTTATATATAGTATGATTAATTTAAGCTAGCATTCAGTCGTGAAGACATTTTTCATTAGAGCTGGTTTCTACGTGGCGGGTCCCAAACCCAGCGCACAACCTCGCTAGGTGAGTAAGTTTAAAGTTTTTTTTTACACATTTGCTTAAAGACCGACGCCCGCTCGCAGCGGCACCTTAAACGGAATAAGTCGGAGTGGCCCCACTGAAGCTTCCTGTCTCATTAGCCATGACCCGAAGCTCCACACGGGCTGGTTACCGCATCTTGCACAAGTGTTGCTCAGGTTTCCAGGGTGCGCGACGTGGACACAAAAGTAGGAATTGAGTATAACCTCGCAACTGCAACAGCAGAGTCAAAGGGTCAAAACTAGCATATACAAATCACAAATAATTGATTGATATTAGAGAGCTTTCAATAAGAGCTTTAAATCTAGTTATAAAGGCAGTTTCTACAATATGGAAGGTTTCGGCCTCAAGGAAAAAAGGCGAAACTGATCTATCAATTAATGCTGAGTCTTATCGTGAAGCTTTAAGGTTACAACAGGTAGAGTGGAGTAGCAGTACATTACTCAAAAAAAAAAATAAACTGTCTTGTGTTTGTACACTTTAGTTCAAGTTTTTAATCATCGCCATAAATATGAATACTTTCCTTGTTCAGCTAGTCTGCCTACGTCTGGAACGTTTGTCTTCGGACCAGAAGGTGAAGTAGGTAAGGTAGGTAGATTGACGGATGGACTGAAAGTAAAAAAAAAAAATAATGGATTATTATTTTATAATACAACAATTTTTTGAGAAGGTCTAAATAACTTAATTTATAAACCTGCGCAAATATAAATCGACGAAAGTGTTTACTTACTGATTCCCAGGAACAGTCGATGGCCTTTCAAGTGGTGGTCGTTCATGGCCTCTAATGGCATCGATACAATATAAAAGAAAAGGAAAGAAAGAAAAGCAGAAAACTAATTAAAAATACATATAATAAATAAGTGTAAAAGAGCAATTTTGAAATGTTTCATTTTCAATAAAATTTCGTTGTCACTTCAGCTGACTAAGCCTCTGATGGCTCTAAAAAAACCGAGAAGTTCATACACCTTCAATATCTTCTAACGATGTTTTTCTTCGTGTCAAGTTTTTTAAAAAAAGTTACTGAAATATGATCCTGATCAAATAACTCTCAGAAATTATCATGAATATATTTACGAGCCTTTGACTAATTTAATTAATTTATCACATAAAGAGCTAACTTATTAATCTGCCATCTCTTTTAGAGAAATGCCTGGTTTAATTTATATAGCTAAAATAATAAAATTCACCATATTCTTTCTGAGATCAAATTTTATGTGCCCTTTAGAATGTCCAGACATTTTTGTCCTTCTTTTCTAAAAACTTGTAAAACGAACTTTTAATTTCAGAAGCCTTTCCATAGTCTGAGGCTTGATTTCGAGTCTCATTATATTGCATTTGACATTTCTGACACGCTATTGCATCTTGTCGACTCTCAATTAATTCTTTAATAATTCAACTAATCTTTAATATTCACTTCAGTTATTCTTCAAAAACTTTCGCCAGCAGATTACAGCGTACAATGCCTGTATACGTGTACACTTTGGAAAATCACAGGATTTGATCTGTGTTTCATTTCTTCTTGGAATGTATGAAATTAGTTTCGAGAAAAGACTAACCTGCTCTCAGATTTAGAGTTTAACGCATTCACTGCAGAGCTCAATTTTGAAATGCTATTTTTCAATTCCTCTTCTTTCTTCTTGCATTCCCAAATTGTGCTGTGTAGAAAATACATAAGAATTAGTATAAAGTTCAAATTGTCAATTGTTGAAAAATTTTCGACCTTTCACCTTTGCAAAGTGTTTTCCATTAAGATTAATTTTTGTTCGAATGAATCCACTCGCTTTTCCAAATTTGCAATTTTTGAATTCGAATTTGAAATTTTTTCATTTAATTTCCTTTCCGATTCCTTCAGTTCCCAAATATTCCTGTAAGTAATAGGAGATCAATATTTAATTAAATATTTTATTAACACTTTACTGAATTAAATTCACCTTTGTAGAATACTTTCCATATTAGTTTGCTTCGCTTCACAGGTAGTGCCCCATTTTATGACATTTTCAATATCGTTACCGACATCCATATATATGGTGAATGACTGTTCGATACCAAAACCGCTTATACATTTCGCCAGGAAAAGCAAGAGTGAATAACAGCGCCAAACTCCTCGTCCTGCCATTCGGGAATTATTAGGATTAAATGTTACTATTCGACGGAAGCGATTTTATAATAGTTTTTGAACGCGACTTCGTCTGCATGGAATTTGAAAATGGTTTTTATTAGATTTTTAATTGTATTTTGTATTTTTGTTATTTATTTTATAATAAATATGAGAATCAAAGCTCCGCTTAAAAATCTATCGGCGGTTCGGAGGCGGCTTAGTGTAAGCACCTTCCTGTTGTTAGAACATCATCAAAATGCTTACCACAAATTGGAGGAAGAGCTCGGCCGGAAATAGCTTCGGCGGCAATTATATATTATTACGTTTTAGTTAAATTTATGACAGATATACTCAAGTGAAATAATTTTGTTTTTTGACATGGAATTGGAGGCTTAGAATCAAGTTCAATTTGCTTAAATTTTCTCTATGGAAAGTGATGACGGTCAGATTGACAAAAATTAATATTATTTTGATATAAGCGTAAATAGATTATTACACACAGTTTTTTTTAGAACAAGAGATGCTATTTTGATATTCAAACTAAACTGGCAGCTTTTAAGATAAATCAGCGTATGTTTATTTCAATGCTACTAATAATGGTGAATAATAACAAAGAAACGGACACTACTATTGTACTACGCATACAGGACTGTATTCTTTTGTATGGCTGGTTGCCCTCAATAGTTTTACGAGGTCCACCCTTGAGGTCGCTGAGGTCGACGTTGACCTATATCAGGCTTCTACGAAAAGGGGCTTAGACTGTAAATTGATTCCTTAGTTATTCAGGACATAACCTTTTATAGACATACATTAAGGCCAGAAAGTTGCCGGAAATTGCCATTTAAACTGCCCGCGCTGAATATCTTGCAGCACCTTTTTGTTTGTTAAAACGGTAGCACTGCTCTTAATTACTATTTATGTTAAAAATGAGCGCGATCTGGATAACCAATTTGTTTGTGACTGCTGTTGAAATCAGTCGTGCTCAATTCCCTCTGCAAATTCTCTTTTACGGCATCAATCGAGTCGAAATGGTTACTCGAGCTTTGGGCAGAATAAAAAGTCGCATGGGACTAATCAGGTGAATAAGGTGATTGTGTGTTGTTTGTCTTAAAATCATTCACAAAACCTCAGCTGGGTGCGATGGCGCATTATCGTCATGAAAGTTTCCGGAACGCCTCGAAACGCTCTAATAATTCTATTTATTGATCGTATTTATTGTCCAGTTGGAACGATTTCATGATGAAAGCAAACGGCGAATACCGAAAAAAACAACAACTTTCTCATCTTAATGTACACAAATTCAAACACAAATAATATTTTATTTTACTTAAATTGAAAATGTTGAAAAATTTAATTTTATGCGACTTTGAAGCACTAGATGCACTTTTTCAGGATAAGTTGGGCTTGCTTTTTGTGTTTCATTTAATATTCAAAAATTCGCTGAATACACCTGAATACAACTAATATGTAGCTGTGTGAAAATGACGAGAATATGTTCAAAATCGACTTGAGCCAAATAAATTGATGAGATCATAAGACCCGAACGGCAGCCAAACTGGCAAAAGTATCTCTGTGGAAGTTTTAGTTCTGGTCAGTACTTTTAGCAGAAGTCACCAAAGCCTATGACCGAAACAATGACCGGAAAAGTGTTTCACTGTGTTATTTATCAGGTACAAGAAAGTGAGATCCAATATTTTATAAAAGTGTGTTTTTTACTGTTTTTATTTCACTCTCCAAAATTTACGTCAATGCCGTACACATTCATATTCACCAGGCAAATCCAGCTGTAGCAAATTTCTCTTCGTCACTACCATTTCTATACAAGACACTTTTATATATTACATACATATTTGTATATTATATATACATATAAACACTTTATGAAATATATATACATACCTATCGTTCGCTGTATAAGAAATTTCTTCCGCTAATTATACAGCTTCAACACTTTGCGTGAACTGATCGCCAATCAATTGACACTCGTACACGTTAATCTGTTAAGAACACCGTTGTACGCTGAATTAGTATTATTATTTTTTTTCTTTGCTTTCGAAGATAAGGAACTTCAGTGATTTTGAAAAGTTTTTAAAACACTTTTTTCATAACTCAAAAGCGGCTGTTGTGATTCCTTTGAAATTTCGTTTATTGAATGTAGATAACCCTGGCAGGGTAAGGAAGAGTGAAATAATTGTGATGAGAGAAAATGTGAAGCGCAGTGTTTACGAAATTTGTACTCGAAGAAAAGTATAATTAAAGTGTTAAAAATTAATTTTATTTATTATTATTATTTATTTAATTTAAGCGATTTTCCAACAGGAGCCACAATCAGAAAAAGAAGAAAAAATATTACGCAACGCAATTCTTATGCGCTCGCTTCAAATACTGGTAAATCCGAAGTTATTTTCTCTCTTTTCATAATATTCTTTAAGCCGTTTTTAACGATACGACGCTGAGCTTTGCTCGGATTATTAACTTCCGTGTGGCGTCCACAATTAGATTTCAAAGCTGACTTCACCTTCCGTATGAGTATCTCTTATCTCATATGCCGCTTGATGTTAACGTCTGAACAGGGCCTTGATAGAGAATATGTTCGTAAGGTGAATGGCGACTTTTCTGGTATTTTTCATTTCTGCACTGCCTAAAACTTGACATTCTCGCCCATGGCATTACTGATGAAGCTCCAAAGTCTTTAGGAGGCTGAAAGTAATACCACCGGGACGTAAATTCCTTTCATACTAACGTCTCCTTTCCGAAGCACCCTTTAAACTTGATGAAGGTATTCAATTTGAGAAGTTTTCTATGTGCAACTTCCGAGACATTTCAAAAAACCTTGTCCGATAGTTACGAATATTTTCTATTGCCACAGGTACCACAGGCGATGGAACGAAGAGCTGTACGAGCTATATAATGATATTGACATAGTTCAGCACTTCAGCTTTGAAAAAATTCGATACAGTATCCACTGATGGCAGCAGATGGCAGGAGGAGAAAGACCTTCACACCTTTGGAAGGATCAAGTGGAGAGTGACCCGGTTTCACTTGGTATATCCAACTGGCGCCAAACAGCGAAAAGTAGGCATGGATGGCGAGCTAATATTGAATCGGCTATAATCACGTAAGCGGTGACAACTGCTATAAAGAAGAAGAGGAAGAATCTTCGGTATATTGCCTTTGCAGAAAAAACCTTACAAGGTTCGGCTGACTTTTTCGCGACGTTAGATGATCAGAGATGACACATCACCTCGTTATTATCAGTAACTATCACTAATTGTGGGACTCATTATTAGTATAAATAACACAACTCCTTTTTATTAGGTTAATTAACACTTCGTGCTTGGAACAAGCAACTATGTCAACGGAGACTAGAAATTCTCGCTAATTGGAGCACCGCACTGTGAATAAACTCCTTGTAAAAAAGAAAGTACGACGAAACAAATTTTTAAAGAGTTGCCATCGGTTCCCCAGAGGTCTGTTCCATCACATACGATGGTGAAAAAATGGGCTCGGCTTCTTCAACAAGGAAGAGAAACCTGTGAAGGTGATGCCCACCTGGTGCGTCCAGTGCAGTGACAATCGTGTCCGAAGCAAATCTTCAGAAAGTCGAAAGAGTAGTACTAGCTGATCGAAGAATTAAATTGTGGTAGATAGCAAAGAATGAGCTGGAGAGATTCTGCATGAACCTTTAAATATGAAAAAAATTAGTGTGAGTTCGGTACCGCGAATGCTCACGCCGCTCGACAAGCAGCGGCGATTAGGGATTTGCAAAGATTTGTTGGAGTTGTGCCAAGCTGATTTTGACGAGATTATAACCGTTAATGAAACTTGGATTCGCCAGTATGAGTCCAAACAGGCCACCAAAAAATTTTAAGTGGAAAAGTCAAGATCGAATATAATGGCTGCTAAGTTTCTTCAAGATAACGCATCCGTTCCCACCGCTCAGGCTGAGAGGGATGCCTTAAAGGCTATTGGAGTTACAGAAATTAGTCATTCAACCTACAGTTCGGACCTAGTTCCCAGTGACTTTTTACTTTTTTTCCCCATTTAAAAGAGAATTTACAGGGATGAAGTTTATCAGATGACAGTGAGATGAAAGCGGCCGTAAAAAACTAAAGAATATTTTTTCAGTAGTGTAAAGATATTTTATTCGCGTTTCGCGCATTTCACTTGAGGAAGGCATTATTGAAGTATAAAAAACATGAAACTATACATTTTAGTACTATAAGCCGCGATCTTATCAGTATGTATGTACGTATGTACGTTGAAAATAATGTATTTGAAATTATTAGTAATGTTTATTTGATTAAATTTTTTAAATATATTTTTTTTTTTTTGCAAAGAAGATGACTCATACGCGGCTAAATGCTCGGGTAAATATAATATCAATAAAAATTTAATACTATCTATTAATATACTTAGACATAAATATGTACGTAAATTCATTGCATTAAGCAGTCAATCCTATGGACTAGAATTTGGTCCAAAGATTCACATCTACGAAGAGGGGGAAAATGAAGAGACATTTTTCTGATTACTTCTGCCATATTAATGAAATATTTTAAACTTGCTCTCAGTTCAGAAACACATAATATATGTATGTATATAATAAAAATAAAAATAATAAATAATATGTGGATTGATAAGAGATTTCTGCGAAATTCCTACTTACACACATATTTGTAGGTAGGTGTGTTTTGCTAATATGGCAATGTGACGGACAGTAACATTGAAATATCTCAGCCAAGCCAACAAACAGTTGTTTCGTAAATCCAGAGCTGAGTGGACTATGTGAATTCATGAGCTCCAAATCGAAATCGACATGGAAGCTGTTATTCGAAAATATATATTGTTTCTCTGTACGCTGTTCATAGTCTTAGAAACCAGAGGTGGTGAGTAAATTTCTAACTGAAGAATAATGAGAACCATCTCTCTACTGAGAAGAAAAACACACGATTTTATGTCGTTTAACATAATAAAACGAATGAATAATTTTAGTAAAATTTTCCTTAAAATATTGTAATTATTTTTCAACAAATATTCTATGTAAATTTTTAGAGTATCTTCAGTGCAGAACACCATTTGGAGCCATCGGAAAATGCAAGCCAATTTCATATTGTGAGAGCATACATACACTTGCTTTAAAAGCGCCATTAACACAGAAAGATATTAATTTACTGATAAGAAGTAAATGTGGCGAGATCAACAAAAATATTTTAGTAAGTCATCTTTTAAAACCATTAGTATTTATATATAATAAACTCGTTCACTTAACACCTAATTTTAAGACGATATATAGTCGAGAAGATAATTTTAAACTTCAATTTGTGGAGCGATTTGATTTAGACGCAGAGTCTGATGTATCACAATTCGCCAAGGACAAATGCATATACTTACTTTATTGGCGTAGACCCCGCTTACGCGATTATAGCCGAGTTAACAACATTGCGCCAATCGGCAATACCAATTGAAGCTAGGTTGCTCTCCACCTGATACTTCCAAGGGAGCGGAGGTCTTCCCATTCCTCTGCTACCACCAGCGGGTACTGCATCGAATACTTTCAAAACTGTAGTGCTTTCATCCATTTGGACGACATTGCCTAGCCACTTTCTCTTCATTCCCTGAACTATGTCAATATCATCACATACATATCTCGTGCAGCTCATCGCTTCATCGTCTGTGGTATTCGCCGTTACCAATATAAAAAATAAAATAAATCGCAAAACCTTTCTCTCGAAAACTCCTAGAGCCGACTCATCAGATATTGATATTGTTTTCGAGAGAGGTCTTTACTTTTCAGTTGCTTACCAAGTCCAAAGCCAGACATTATTATTGGTGTTGATGCTGATTCCTAGATAGATAAAATTATCTACGACTTCAAAGTTGTGACTGTCAACAGTGGCGTGGGAGCCGAGTCCCGTATGTGACGACTGTTTGTGTGAGGACAGGAGATATTTGTGTGAGGACAGAAGACTTTTCGTCTTGCTCTCGTTCACAACCAGACAATTACCATTCGCTCCCTTATCCAGTCTGGAGAAAGCAGTTGTTGGGGCCAATAACGACTCCAGCAGCTGTAAACTCTTATAAAAGATTGTTTCTTCTCTATTCATCTCTGCAGATCGTATGATTTTGGTATCGAACAGCTCGGAAAGGTCCTTTTCTATCCACAGTTTACACAGCCGTAAAAGCTTTGCGGGAAAACCAAATTTAGACACAGAGAGTCGTGAAGACAGCTCCTATTCATACTGCCGAAGGTGACTTTAAAAGCGACGTAGAGGTAGTGAGGGTCGATTGTTTTTACCGGTCTTTTCTAAGCTTTGGCGCATGGTGAAAACCTGGTAAATGGTTGACTTACCAGGTCTGAAGCCAAATTACAAACGTCGGGCATGCTTTCGTCCGGCCATATTCTGCAAAGAAGCTGATGTATGCACCTTGTCAGCTCTACATCATTTTGATGCATCTGCATTTTGATCGATTTTTACTCCAACTGTTGTTGCAAACAGCGGTAAAAAAAAAACACCGTAACTACTCCTCAAAATCAAAATATTAGGTTTTTATTAATCACTGTCACACATACTAATTGAAGGTATGAAAAATTAACCATGAGGTATACAAAATTTTTGGTTTTACCATTGACATTGGTCCACATTTTCTGCTCATCTAAGCAAAAGGCAACGCATTCCTCGAATTTAAAGTAAATCAAATGATAAATGCAATTTTTTTGAATAGGTCAATTTTTGGTTCCCCTCTCAGAGAAAAGAGTAGTCCAATTTTTTTGAATCGGTCAGTCCCCGGAGATAAAAGCGATCTTCATGTTAATCTCAACAAAAACCCACCTACACCCACCATAAATAAGATATTTTTAATAGGTCAGTCCCTGGTCCAATTCTCGAATTTTTTTTTTTTTTTTTTTTTGAAAAACTTTTCCAGAAATCATAGAAATTATCTGATGAAATTTCCAACCAATCCAGGTAACCTTTCGAGATTTTCGGAGATTACTCGATTTTTCTAAGAGTATATATAATTATTTATACATAACATTATTGATCTTATTGATATGTGGATCACGTCTTCGCTACTCTAAGTCTGGCCCGAAAATGTCAATTCGATTACTTCGAAGTAAAGCAACCTCATCTGCTTCCTCCCAATCAAGTTGAGCGGACATACTCGTACAAGAATCGCTTCTAGCTCTTGTCAATCTGCCGGCGATTCATGACTTATATTGTATTTCGAACAAATCGAACTTGGATGCAGGTCGTTGGTCCATTTTCAAAAAGCAAAGGATTTAATTTCGGTAAATCATTCAAAAAATACTTTTAGTTAAAACAAGAAAAAAACGATTCGCTTCCTGCAAGAAAAAACGATTCAAGTAAAAGCAACTATTCATTAAAATTTTGCGCAAAAAGCCACCGAATATCAAGTAGATGGAGCCATATGTACGAGTTTTTCGAATAAGTTAATCCCGTACACTTCTCTCCAGGAACCATTAAAACAATCTGACGAAATTTGAAAACCTTTCGAGAGTTGCGAATCTTCATAAACAAAATGAATATTTGAATATATGTATATAGACAGATTGATATTTTGACCTCCATAACACTAGTCAGAAAAATAACAAAACAAAAACTTAGACAACTTTTATCTTCACCTTTAATGGCTCTGGCAACGCTCACGAGATTATAGACGAATCAATTATAGCGAGCTATTCATCCCTTCGAATAGTTCTATCGCTTAACTTAAATTAAATTTTAGGATTTTGGTAAATATTAGGCTTTTGTTAGATTCTCTCTAAGGCTCCAACAATAATCTCGCAGCATTGTTGGACTCCAGTGCCCTCGATTATTCTTTTGTATTAAGCGAAATTCGTGATGGAACCTCTCCTCTGATTTGTAAACCACATCACTCTAATTTGACGCAAGGAAGTCCACTTCAAAGCCTTATATGGTTTTATAATTTCATTTATGCATTTCTTATAATTTTCTGATAAAGAAATTTCACTTTTCCAATCTAGACCCCAAAAGTTCAACCTGTTTTTTTTAGACAGATTCAAATCGCGTACTACAAACCCTCTAAATCACTTTGTATCACAAAGTTTGGTGTTTTTTGAAGTGACGGTTCATATTTTGGGTTCCAATCTTCATATACTGCACCGCGCTGACTTCTGACATATACCTTACTAAAAATTCGATATTCTGATTCAATTGGTGGGAGAGTCAGGGGTCTTTTGGGCGATAGTTTGTATTGTGGATGTTGTGGATTGTTGCGTTTGAGAGAACCTTTGGCTTTGTCCAAAGCATTGTTATAGCATTGATTAAACTAATGAAAGTCTCACACAGGTTACCCAGCATATATATGGAAGCCAAGATTTATCTCGATTTCTCACAGGAAAGTCTAAATAGTAACCATAAATTAATGGCGTGAAATTTTGACTCTGAGATTCAAATGCAGATTATCCACACACATAAAAGAAACTGTCATACTTACGAAGTAATGCAATGGTTACACAGTCACCGAAATTACGAGGTGTGACAGTTAAGTAATGACACTGATTCCATAAAATCCATAAACACCGTACATCTCAAAATTATTCTACAACTCTGACAGCCCCTTCAAAGTAGTCCCCTTGGGCATCTATACAACAATTCCAGCGCGTATTCCACGTTTCGTAACATTTCTGGACTGCTTCGACTGGGATGCCCGCGAGGACCCTTGTCACGGCCACCTGGATGTCCTCGATCTTCTCAAAATGTCACGGCGATTCCTTTAGAGTACAAATACTAATACACGCTGAGAGCGATGTGGCACCGCGCGTTGTCGGGATGAAGGATCCAGTTACAAGGGATGTCTGGGCGCACTGTGGTGACACGTTTTCGCAAGAATTCAAATACTTGGCGATAGTAGACTTGATTTATGGTTTGCCCAGGTGGAAGAAACTCTTTTGTGGACGATTCGACGGCTATCTAAAAAGGCAATAATCATCGTTTTCACTTTCGTCTTGCTCTCACTTCGCGCCTCGTCTTCCACGCTTGGACGCCCCTCTTTAAATTCGTTTTTCCATTTTCCTGATGAGCGCCAAGAACACAGGTTTACCCAACACTACACAGAAGGCGAACTAAGCAAGCTAGAGCGATGGCAAATATATCAATGGAGAGGTAAAGGATGTCGGGAGAAGGGTCGCAGGGTTACCACAATCGCGGCAATATAATCAGTCTCATTACTTTATTGTCACACCTTGTACGTTAATTAAACTGGTTGTGATTGAAGCAAAAGAGTAGTTATATATTTTTAAGAGAGATACATTAAAATAAACAAAAATCATCAAAGAGTTTGTTTGAACAAAACAGTGTTTACCAGTGTAATTAGTCTTCTTTGATAACCCTATTCAAATCTGAGTAAAAGTTGTATGTGTCTGGGAGAAGGATCGTGCTTTACTTCGTTTCTTCTTGCTAATGCCTTATTATTTAATTGCATTTACCCAGATATTTTCCGACTCGCAATGGGAACACTTTGATGAGCGAATAATTTAAATATACTAGGGTGGTTTGATAAGTCATGACTTCTTGAACAAACTATATATTTTTTCGAAAAATAAGCATTTTATTTCTCAACATAGCCTCTTTTTAGAGCTACACATTTAGTCCAGAGTGTGTCTAATTTTTGGGTTCCTTCCAAGTAATAGGCTTTTTCTAGGCTAATTTCTAGGCCACAATTTCTTATTGTCCTACCATTTCTTCAGGCTTGGAAACAAGAAATAGTCGCAGAGGGCTCAATCTGGAGAATATGCTGGATGGGATAGCAGTTCGTAGCTCAATATATGACTTTTACATGAAGTGTATAATAATCATTAAACTTTATCTGCTTTTTTCTCTCAAATTCCAGGTATGCTGCCCTATGCAGAGTGATTATTTGCCCGAAGTAACACAAAAACCTGCAGAAAAAGGTAATGCAGTGTACATATGTATATCCGAATATCGAAAGGAAAAAAATACTTATTTTATTCAATTTGAATTTTATTAATTTTCAAAATCAATTCAGTTTTGGAAATCTGCGCGACGCCATTTGGAGGAAATGGGCATTGTATAAATAAAAAAGACTGTCCAATTTTCAATATGTTAAAATTTACTGAAAAAGAAGAAAGGTTGTTAATTAATAGCAAATGTGGAGGGATAAACAGCGGAAATGTGAGAGTTTGGATACGTTTAAAACAAATTTAGATAAATAATTTTATTTTTACTTATAGATCTGCTGCCCTCAGCAAATTCCCGCACGAACAACACCAACACTAATAAAGCCATTAAGGAATAATTCTAGTAAGTATACTGATATGAATTTTAATTTTTTTTTTGTAACACCATAGAAACTTATTAAATCCAAATCTGCTCAGCTAGTTAGGTCCGAAATCTTAATAAATAGGAAATCGCAGCTTTAGTTCATTTGTAGTTATGGCCGACAGGTGAATCACTATTCTTGTCTTCTTTGAAGGCGAGTCCGGCTAACTTGGGTAGGGTAAAATGTTCGCTAGGGAATTTATATATAAATGGCTGTATTAATATGAAAGGTGAACGGAAGGAGGAGGGCTTATTATACCTGAGATTCCAATTGATCCACCTTGACACAGGAGAAACTCCCTTGTAGGCAAAAAATCTTTGTTTTCATATTTGTTTCCTAGAATCACCGAAACTGGCCGGCGGAAAATTTTGGTGATTTTGGAGTTTGTTTTTCGGGATCCCAGGAAATTTTAAAACAAAAATTCAGCAAATGGCCAGGCATGACATATTCGAAAAATTTATATTTTGTATATATACTTATACTATGTTTATTAAAAATTACTAAAAGATATTTAGACTCGAATATTTTAAAAAGGACAAACCAAAACTTCGTTTTTTTTTTAATTTTAATTTCCTATTGATTTTAATCCTCTTTGATTATTATATTAGCAATCAAGAGTGAAGTGAAAGAGAAACAACTCTTGAGGCTTGTCTAGGTAGTTTATATTTTATGGAGTACTTATTTGAGAACGGAACATATGAAAAGGGACCAAAATTAGCTTTGTTTTAAGTACACCAAGCAAGAGTTTTATTGGAACTTTTGTTAAGGCAATTCAAATGTTTTTTTCGTCATCAATAGCGCGATCAATATTGACTTTTAAGCTTTGAAGAGTGTCTGATTTATTGCTCCAGATCATTGACTTCAAATAACCCCGCAAGAAGTCGTCTAATGGTGTTAAGACCCAACTTCTTGGAGGCCATTCAATGCCATAATTTCTTGAAATAATCAAACCTCCATATCTTCCTCGCAATCATGCTGTGTGACACGTGCCCCGGCTTGTTGGAACCAAATGTTGTTAAGATCAATTTCTTCCAATTGTGGCCGTAAAAAGTTGGTTATACACGATTTATACCGCTCTCCATTGAGAGTAACGGTGCTACCAGCTTGATTTCGAAAGAAGTACGACCCGATAGTCCACTGATGCCTGTCGATTTAGGTTGTTAATGAATAATTTATGGATTTTCTTCGCACCAGACTCGACAGTTTTGTATATTTAGATGAAAGTTTTCTAAAAAAAACTTTATCGTTTTCAAGTTGCTGTTGTTGTTGTTGTTTGTAAACGTTGTCCTTGTATGTATCTTGTCATGATTACTGAACACAATGAAAAAAGAACAGATCATATTAAAGATGGCCAAATCAACACTTAGAAATCAAATCATTCCAATTGGAAACCCCTTTACATATATTCTACTTGCCTGTGCTTTAAGAAATAGTAGTAGATATCGCAGCCACGGTCACCGCTTTTTTCGATATCTTTAGACCATTCAAACTGCTCATTTGTTGGTCCTATACGACATTTTCACGACGGCGCAATTAAGTGTTTCGCTCTCTCAATCGTAATTCACACTCCAAATATATGCCGAAATATTCAGTTCGCCATAAAAATTTTCTTGAGCGAATCACGACCAAATCGTTGTCTTCTCTAATTTTTATCGAAATTTTATCGCAACCAGCTGACAAATCAAAACAAAATAAATGAAAATCATAAAAGAAAATACTAAAACGCAAGCAATTATTTTAAACCAAAGAAAAAAATTAGAAATTATGAAAGTAACTGGCATTCACACTACCAATTCAATTCAAGATTTTATTAACTTCTTAGAAAATCTTACATTTTCCAATCGAAAACTGTCAAATTGCGTGCTGTGTGAAGGGGGGTAATTCGCATTCGTAGTTGAGAGGAAAAGCCATGTTAGTGATCTCTATTCATTGATTGATAAGCGCCGACCTAAATTTATTAATGTATAATTGGTACCTTAGGCATAAAGTTCTTATGTGCCTTCCAGAGTGAATAAATTTTTTGGTAGCATTTGGGCCAATATTTCTTTAAATGATTTGACATTATGATCTTCTGCTTTTTTCAGCGCACTCCTTGGATTTGTTTTCAAAAGGAACCCTCCCATGATTTTGAATAAAAAAATCAATTTTTTTTAAGCAAAAGTGAAAGCCGTATATATTTAGCTTCTCGCAGCTTCTCGATCACAACGGTCTCACGCACGCTGCGAATTTTCAAAAAACTTTGAACGCATTTTTCTCGAAACAAAATTTTCCAATCTAACTTCAAGCCCCGGTCTTGATCTATCCGTCAGATTTCTTTTATCTTAAAACTGTTTCAAAGTATTTTGTATGTTTTGAAACTAAGTTTGGCATAAATATTTAATTATTTATATTCTTTTGAAGTAATTGAAGTGAAAAAAGTAGCAAAAAATATAGTTTTATAATTGCAATGAGCATTATGCAATAAACCTATCACTAAAATTGTTTCGATTGAGGTTAAGGATTTAGAAAATTTCATGATCTTCAAGTATTGACAAAGATCTTTGATTTTAGTACACTACAAGAGGCTGTAGGCTTGAAGTTGTTGGGCCATGTTTTTTACGCAGATGCCGACGGAAAGCGCCATTTTGTAGCCGTCATTTTGATTTTGACAAATTTTTTTGCCATTTTAAAATCACAAATAAAAAACAAATTTAATAGTTATTGAATGAGTGCATAAGTTCGTGCCCGATTCCGCTGGATGCCGTTCGAATTGTTTGAGAGTGGCGCTCGTGAAAGAAATATATACATATTATGTATCGTTGGAAAGGTGACAGTCCGAACTGTAAATCAAGCATAAAATAACTTCATTTTGATTTGAGTTGCTTAGTGAAAAGACGCATGGAAGATGGACAACGAAAAAGATCATATGCGTCATATTATGTTATACGAATTCCGCAAAGGAAAAACAGTAGGCGCTGCAACTAAAAATATTCGCGAAGTTTATTTAGACCGTGCTCCAGCACTCCGCACAGTAAAGAAATGGTTCCCGAAATTTCGTTCTGGAGATTTTAACCTCGAAGATCAACCTCGCAGTGGACGACCTTCTGAGCATGATGACGATGTTCTAAGGACTTTATTTGCGAATAACTCACGTATTTCGACGGAAGAGGTTGCCAGTGAATTGAACGTCAACAAATCAACTGCGTTTCGTCGTTTCAAAAAGATTGGGTACACTTTGAAGCTCGATACATGGGTGCCACATCAGTTGAGTGAAAAAAACAAAGTGGACCGTATGTCAACAGCAATTTCTTTGCTTCGACGGATCAAAAACGAACCTTTTTTGGCTCGTGACTGGTGATGAAAAATGGATCCTGTACAATAATGTTCAACGCAAAAGAACATGGAAACAGGCACACGAAGGGGCGGAACTGATGTCGAAAGGTGGATTGCATCCGATGAAGGTACTGCTGTGCATTTGGTGGGATATCCGAGGCGTGAGCTATTTTGAGCTCTTGTCAGCTGGAGAAACGATCATTGCCAACAAGTATTGTCAGCAATTGGTCGAATTGATGAAAAACGTCCGATTTTGGCCAATCGCAACCGCGCGATTTCTATGAATTAGGCATCCGTAAATTGGTTGAACGTTGGGAGTGGATTGCCGAACATGATGGCGAATAAATAATTGATTAATAAAAGCGCTTTCTTCAAAAAATTTCAATTTGAGATTGCACTTGAAATCGGGCACAAACTTATGCACTCATCCAATCGGAAGCTCGTACGCCTTTTCATTCTCCCACAAAAAAAAAAAAACTTTGCCTGATTTTTGCCCAATATCAGGGGAGGGTCCCTTTAATTAATTTTATTCGTATCCTTGAGGCCGCAGCGCGTTTTGGTTGCCATTCTCTCCGAAATGACGCTTTTTATTTACTAATTCTTCTTTTGCAGTATTTGTTAGGGTTTTTTTTTGAGCTCGTAATAACACTTAAGCGCTTTGGCTTGCTTTGCTTTTTCACTATTGACAATTGAGCTGATTTTAATGTGACTACTAATATTTTTTAATATTTTTTTATTGCTATTATTTGATTTTGTTATTTCCAGCAGTGGAGACTTGTAAAACCCCCCGTGGAGAAAACGGATATTGCGAGAATATATATAATTGTCCTACCTTATTTAATATTCTTTCAAAGCAAGAATTTGCAGCCAACGATCGGACATTTTTAATCAAAAGTATATGTGGAAATAGTGAAAAGGTAAAGTCAATAGAGAATCATTGCGACATATACATACGTATTTTTTTTTTTGAATAATATTTTTTTTTAGTTTTGTTGCCCGGAACAAAGTGTTACACAACCAAATTCACTCAAGCCGTCAAGTGACGCTGTTGGTAATGAATTTGTTTAAGAAATGTAAAACAAAATTATTCTTCAATTCGAGTTTCTTCAATACCTTACTTCAATAGACCCACAACTGAAGAAGTGTCAGACCCCCGCTGGTAAACAGGGCGATTGTAAGCCAATTAGAGAATGTCCTCCATTGTTCAGCTTGCTTGCGAGATATACAGAAATGGACCAAATTCAATTAACTAAAAGTAAATGTGGTGGAAATGAAGGTGTAAGTGTAAGCACTCGACTAACTGAAAGCATGTTTTCAAACTATACGTAAATTTAAGGTATGTTGTCCCACGGAGACTTCACCTCCGCAGCCGCCGTACAAGACATTAACACGAACATTAGGTAATTTTGCATATTATTTTTAATTCAGTCCTATATACAGTTTTATATAAATTATATAATAATATATGAAGAAAATAAATATGCTTGGGATGAGAGACCTACTTTTGATGGCGACCCCCGCAAATATTTTAAGTATTGCGATTTGAGTGCTGGCACCGAATGTCCGGTCCAATAATTGGGAAGATGCCGCTGCCCATCTGGTTGATGTCCTAGTAAGCACAAAGCTTGATTTCACGGACATCAATAAGAGGCGATGGACGAGACAAGGACGGAAACGGGTAAATAGGTGATTCTGACATCTTCAACAGCAAATTTAGTGTCGGCTTCGTGTTGGAAGAGAGACTCCGTCGCCGAATACTAAGATTTACTCCTGTGAATGAAGGTCTCGCCACAACCGGCTTTAAAACGAAATTTTTCAACACAACGCTGATTTGCGCTCATGTCCCGACGGAAGAGAAGAACTTTGTTACCAAGGATGCCTTTTATAAGCTCCTTGAGCATACTTATTAACGCTGGCTTGAGGCTGTCTATAGTAATATTATAGATTCCAACGCCGAAAATTACATCACGCAACTTGGAGGTCTGCAAATCGAAAGACCCACAACCATATCGATCATGCTGTGATAGACGGAAAAGATATTTGTACGTTCCGAGGACTCAACATCGACCCGAGCCACTATCTTGCTGCAGCGAAGATGCCCATACCCCCCTGCATATCGAAGAACGTTCGACAAAAAACACAAAGAAGGCACGACGATGAAAAACCACAACAAACAGACTGCCGAACGATTTTCTACTCGGCTTACATACCTGCTTTTTCAGAGCACTCATCAACAACTCGGTTATAGGAACTGTGGGCCAGCATGTCAAGATCCCTACATGCAGCTGCAAACAAAACTAATGGACTTCGGAAAGATGTCATAGTGGATGCTCGAAAATTCTGCGAAAAGATACGGCGATTTACCGATGGTTTCAACACCGGAGCAGACCCTTGTAGGATACATTGAGATGATCTAGTGACTGACGGATGCCCAAAGTATACCGAATTCATGAAGGGAACACTTCGCTAGCCTGCTCAATGTCAGTGAAAGTGAAACACCCTTATTGATGATGATGATGGAAAAAACGTTCCACTATCCGACTCAGTCGAGGTTGGAATAGCAATTGTCCGTCTAAAGAACACAAATCGGCTAGAGTTAATGTTCTACTGGCAAAGCTATTCGAACATTGCGGTGAAGAGATGACAAGGTGCATGAATCAGCTTCTTTGCAAAATATGATCGGATAAAAGCATGCATTAATTAAGTATGCTCTACCCAATCCACAAAAAGAGTGATCCCACAGTCTGCGCCATTCATCGTGAGATATGCCACCTCAATATCCCATATAAGGCCCAATCGAAGGTACTATGTGAAAGGCTACTGTCCTACTGTAAGCAAATTAATTGGAGTGTTTCTTCAGACCTGCTAAGTAAACCATTGTCCAGATATTCACCATGCGCCAAATCTTGGAAAAGACCCGTAAAAAAAGGTTCGTCACACACCATCTTTTCGTCGGTTTTAAAGCAGCCTTCGACAGCACGAAAAGGAGCTGCCTCTACGTCGCTATGACAGAATTCGGTATTACCGCAGAACTTATACGGCTGTATAAACTAACGTTACACCACGCCAAAAGCTCCGGCAGGATCGGGAAGGACCTCGAGCCGTGCGCTACTAAACGAGTTTTCAGGGTGTTTCTTTATTTTTTTGCTGGAGAAAATAAACAAAGTACAGGCTTTTACAAGAGTGAACAACTACTGGCGTATGTTGATATCATGGGCCTTAACAATCGTGCCGTTAGTTCTGCTTTCTCCAGACTTGACAAAGAAGAGAAGCGAATGGGTCTGGTAGTCGAAACCACTTATGTCATCAAACAAACAGTCATCGCATTCGCGACATGGCTCTCAAATCACTATTTACAGTTGACAGGTGCACCTTTGGACTGAGTAGGTAATTGAAAAGTAAAGTCCTCTCTAGGCGAACAAAAACCAAACTTTACAAGTTTCTCATTATACGCGTCCTACTATATGAAACTGCTTTGGGGATCTTCGAGAGAAAAGTCTTGCGAACGATTTGCCGTCCTTTTTCCATTGGCAACGGCCACAGAAAATGGAGCAATGAGCTGTATGAATTATGCGATTATATTGACATAGTTCAACGAATGAGGAGACAGTGACTACTCTGGCTTGGTTATATTAACCTAAGTGGAGGAAGAGGAAGACCCCCGCTCCGTTGGAAGGAACAGGTAGAGAGTGACCTGGTTTCACTTCGTATTTCCAACTGGCGCCAAACAACGAAAAAGGAACGAACGGCGCGCTATTATTGATTCGGCTATAATCACGGCAGCGGTAGCCGAGTGGTTAGCATTGCGTACCGGCATTCGGAAGGGTTCATATAACGGTGCCACCAATATCCAAAGTTAAGGAAAATTAATTTAAAATAAAAAAAATAAGTTCAATTTTCTAATTGCGGTCGCCTCTCGGGAAGGAATGTCCACGCCGACATGAAATAAAGGCTCCTCCGAAAAAACCATCAACCGTTCGGAGGCCGCTTAGTATAAACTTTAGGTCCCTCCATTTGTTGGAAAATCATCAAGACGCAAAACCACAAATCGGAGGAGAAGTAGAAGAAGAATAAGTGAAATAATAATAACATAAGGCAAAAAATAAAAACATCTTACTACTCCAATTTCTGTTACAGTCTTCCCCGAGAGTCAGTGCCAAACTACAAACGGATTGTCTGGAATATGTAAATTTAGAAAAGACTGCGGTCTTATTAATACACGGATTAGCGATAATTCTCGAGAAAATAACGATTGTGGCTCTGTTAATGGAGAGTTGCAGGTAAAAATACATATTACAACTGTTTTGTGGGGAACATTTACAATAAATTGTTTAAAATTCATAGATATGTTGTCCGGTAAAAATGATAGGAAATGACTTGCAATTCCCAATCCCAGCAACGACGACAACAAGCGTGCCAATAACGACACCACCTACGAGAATACCCAGTAAGTGTGACCAAAAACAACTACCATCCGACATAGCAAAGAAAATAACTTGAGAGGCAGCTTCGTAACGATAAATTTCACTCGATTCGGTTGAAATATTTGGAAATACAATATTAACGTTAGAGCAGTTACCCGAAATTAAAAGCTGTCGTTACTGCTAAGCCGTTAACAGATAATGTTAAATCGTTAACAGATAATGTCAAACGTTTAAATTGAAAAGTGCTGTTAATGGCATAGCAAGAAGGTAATTTAAAATTAATAACGCTGAGTTTGTGCTGCTTCAACGATAACGACTTCATTTCGTTGGTAATTTTTCACAGCTTCTAGCCCAAAGCAATCTTTGAAATATTTAGTTATTCTAAATTTAAAAAAAACTGTTAATGATAAATTTTTATAATTAAAAGCTGACGTTATGCCTTCATACAGCCTTTCCAGAAAACTTTTGCAAAACTCCATTACAAGAAAATGGAACCTGTGTATCCATCATGGAATGCGACTCATTACGAAGGCTCGAAACAAAGCAGCCAAGGACATATATGGAAAATATGTATTTGGAAAAAAGTATCTGTGCAAACTATGCGGAACGAAAGGTAAATAATTTATTATTACAATTTTTATTGAATAAACATAATAATGATCAACAATAGAACAAAATAGTATTAAACAAACAAAAATAAATCAATTTGTAGGTGTGTTGCCCAATTTCCGAAGCCAGACAAAGAACAACTACGACGTCAACACAACGACCAACACCAGCGATCCCAATAACAAATAGACCAACAACCGCTGGTAAGTAGTAAGTTATTTGTAGGGAAATCATCAATCAATCATTCGAAACGTGTCCATATTATTTCCGTAATTAATTCGATTATTCGTTTAAAAAAAAAAAACAATTTTCGATTTCTTTACTGACGTAGTCGTCGTTTATGCGATTATAGCCGAGTTAACAACGTTGCGCCATTTATTTCTTAAATTAGCAAACACAGCCAGGTTCTTTTCAACCGGGTATTTCGAACGGAAAGAAGGTATTCATTTTCTCCTACTTCCACCGGGAGGTACTGCATCGAATAGTTTCAAAGCTGGAGTGCTTCATCTGTTCAGACGACATGACCAAGCAGCGCAGCCAAGGTTTCTTAATTCGCTAAACCATGTCAATGTCGTTGTATATATCGTAAAGCTCATTGCTCCATTGGCTGCGGCATTCCCAACTCGTAGAGGACCACAAATCCACCGCAAACTCTTTCTCCAGATAACCTTTAACGCCTACTCATCAGATGTTATCATCGTCCATGCCTCCACACCATATAGCCGCATGGTGTAATGAAACGCTAAGGTCTCACCTTATCTGAAACCTCGTGTGGTATCGAACAGCTCGGCAAGGTCCTTCCGGAACCTGTTTAACGACAGTTTACATAGCCGTATAAGTTTTGCGTGAACACCGAATTCAGGCGTAGTCCGGTAGAGGGCTGTCGAAAGCAGCTTAAAATTCGACGAAGGGGTGATGTGTGTAAATCCTCTTTTCATTTGTATTTTCCAAGATTTGGATTTTGGATTAAAGTTCGAATCATCGGGCATGTTTTCCTCTGACCATATTTTGCAAAGAAGCTGTTACATTCATCTTATCAGTTCTTCATCGCTGCAATCAATCGGCTCCGCCGCTTTATTGTTTTTCAAGCAGCCGATTGCTATTCGAACTTTTTCATAGTCGGGTAATGAAAAATTTTATCGATCGTCATCGATTGTGGAGTCCGGTTCGCCATTTCTTGGTGTTGCCTTTTTAAAGCCATTCAGCAGGCTGGAGAACTTTTCACTCCATAAACTCAGTACACTCGCGGTATCAGTTACTAAAATAACTTCATTGTGTCCTGCAAGAGTCGTAGAATTTTCGAGTATTATCTTTGTCGGCCAGCTCTCAAGCTCTTCATAGTCGCGCAGATCGCCCACTTTCCTTTTTTGTCTGCAAATGCATCTTGCTTTAGATATCATATCTATCCCATTCCCCCACGTTTTGTGGTCATTCGTAAGGTTGCGAGGTGGACTTCGCGTTTTCTCTCTACTGCGGCACGGCAGTCCTCATCGTATCAGCTGTTTTTTGCGACCTTACAATCCATCGTATAACTCGGATGATGCCTAATAATACGTATTTAATAAAGGTTGTAGTTTAATTTTGTTTGGTCATAAAGAAAAGAGTTTATTTTAGCAGACAATACATGAGTTTTTTTTTAATTAAAATTGAAGAGCCAACGCTCGTATTGTATTTAATATATCTATACAATATAATAACAAAAACTTATATCCTGTGGGTTTTTATATTTTCCAGCAGAGCCAAAAAGTACACCACCAACCCCAGAAGGTGGCGGACAATGGGTCAGTATGCTTTATTTAGTTTTTATGCATGCAATTTTAGAAAACGAACAAAAATCATCTTTACTAAGTTAGGAGCAAAAGTAGTAATCTCACTTTGATCTTGTACACCAGTCAATTGTATAATATTATATATGTGTATGTATGTACCCACAATATATTCATACCCAAACATGTGTGGAATAATACTCTAGGTTTGATAATTAGAAATCTTAAAGCAAAATTTCAAAATGGAAATAACTGCTGCTCTAATTCACAATTTATCATTAGGTGGTTTAAGGCAGGTCCATAAAGGTAATATTGTTAAGAAGTCATATGAGGGCTACCCAGAGTTATTCCACTGCCGAAATACATATTCTTTTAATGAAACTTCACCAAATCGCAAAGTGGCTGCTGTATGCCCTCAAAAGCTTTATGAATTCCTTCTTATGAATGAAAAAGTCGCAAGGTTCACCTCTTCGAGAGATAGCACGATCCGGAAACTTTTCCCTTAAAACTTGGCACGTGGCATGTAACGCTGTCTTGTTGGAAGTAAATCAATGCCATCCATTTCCGGCTATCATTAATCATCTCTCGATGGCGCAATCAATTCACCGTAACTATTGCTCCAGCTGGATCATTCTCATGCATTTCAAAGCGACGAGGAATGGAAAAACCTCAGTTTTTTCCAACACTTTGGGCTACAGCAGAAGTATTCTATGTTATTCTTGCACGTGTTTTATTCTTCAAATCACTAACTTCTCACAACAGCTCAATTTTTTCCAACAATTTTTGTATTGCGGTCCGACAAGTTGCTTTACTGCGACCGAAGCATATTTTAGTTTTACGAATCGCTTCTATCAGGTTTTCACCATTTTTATGGTGAATTTTTATAATTTTGGAAAAGGTTCGCGAATATTAAAATTTTTTGTTAGATATTTTTATTGCCCTTATCTTGGCCATATATAACATAGATATAACATACCAATAACATTGATATTAACACTCATATATGTATGTATGCATATGTATGTATTTTTAGATAAACGATCCGAAATGCGGACGAATTGCACCGGAGAATAGAATTTATGGTGGACGCATTGCCAGTATAGACGAATTTCCCTGGACAGCAAGGCTGATATACATTAGCAGTAATAACAAAATCACACTTTTTAACAGAACAATGCAAAGAATATACATATACATATACATGCATATACATCTTTGTTTGCAGACGACAATGACGTAGATTATTCTTGCGGAGGCTCACTGATCAACAAAGATTTCGTGCTTACTGCCGCGCATTGTGTACACAAATCCAATGTGGAATCGAAATGGTTTTTTAAAGGTGTCCGTTTGGGCGAATGGAATACTACAACAGATGTGGATTGTGATATTGATTGCGCACCGCCTCATAGCGATATAGACTGTCCGGAAATAATTATTCATGATAAATATAATCCCAACACTTATAAAAACGACATAGCCTTGTTGCGTTTGGAGAAGAGTGTCTCTCCAACAAAATTTATTCAACCAGTTTGTCTCCCATCGAAGAGCAGTCAAACAAGAAATTACCAGAATGAAGAAGTGGAGGTTGCTGGTTGGGGAAAAACTGAAACTAGTGAACATAGCGAGGTGAAAATGAAAGCAACTTTAAGAGTGTTGAATTCCACCATATGCGATACGAAGTTTAGAAGAAGTGTAAACGTAATATGCGCACAAGGTGACAAGGGATCAGACAGTTGTGGTGGCGATTCCGGTGGACCTCTCATGTACAAGGATAAGAAAAACCTTAAAATTTATTTAATTGGCGTAGTTTCATCCGGCACTGGTGAGAAGTGCGGTGCAGCCAACACAATCGGTGTTTATACGAACGTCTCTGCTCATATGGACTGGATAGTAAAAAAGACCGCTTAGCAACATTTCCTGCGTTTTGTAGTTGAAGCTTGTCAACAGAAATTTTTAGACTACTATCATATCTACTCATTATTATTGGAAGCTTCTTGGTCTCGTTTTCGGTTAAGACATATTTTTGGAACTTGCATTGAGACTTATTTTTTGGTTTTCAATTAAAAATAAAGCTAAAACAATATTAAAAAAAAAATTGAAATGAGTTTTATAAGGCCTGTGCATTTACGCATTGGTCGTTTCACATGAAATGTCGCTGCTGTAAGTGAAAGTGTAAGCGGAGACCCGAATGTGTCTAGTACTCGACGTTCTCAAGGGATGAGACTTTCTTAAGGAACATAATGGTGAATTTTCCACTTGGACTTACACCTACGTCTATATAAAGTCCACACCACAACTGAGATCAGTTGATCATTCACAAGGTCGTACATACGTCGATTGGGTGCTCGAAAAAAAAAACAGTGGACGGCGATTTTTTGAATAAAATTTTCTTCGGCAAGAAGGCTCATTTCTCAAAAAAATTGTAAAATTGTTGCATTCGGCGCTCCGAGAACGCTTAAAGAAGAGAGTCCATTATATCTAGAAAAAGAAAATTTGGTGTCTGTTGCGCTGTTTTAAAAGCTGTCACTGTCAATTAAGATAGTTATGGTCATATGATAACCGACCTTTTTTGGACTGTTGTTGAAGAACTTGGCTTGAACAATACAAAGGAATCTGGTGTTCTTGCAAGAGAAATTTCTTTATCGTGTAATCCCTTGTCTTGTCGATTTCAATTTGCCACCAAGATCAGGCGATTCGACACTATGGACCTTTTTTGTTTGTGACTCCGCGAAAAACCGTGTTTATGCAGATGAGCCTTGAACTCTTGAGCACTTGAAAACCAACATTCGTCAAGTTATGACTAAGGTACCGTCCATTATGTGCCAAAAAGTGGTCGAAAATTACCACTAAAGGATCGATGTTTGCAAATATTCGAGAGCCGCTCATTTGAATGTTTAGTGTTTCATATACTCGTATAATGCCAAGGCACAAATTTTATAATATAAAAGGAATTTAATGAAAAAAAAATTAATTTCCAAAGCATTTTATTTGCGTTTATTTTCGAATTCTGCCATTTCTGTGAATCCTTCAACCCAGCGGTTATTGTTTAGAGTGCTGCATACAGTCGATGTAGTCTGGTACTCCATTTATCTTATGCCTGAGAGGAGGTTCAGTCTTAAGTAAAAGTCTATTGGAACATCCCAGCAGATATTGCTCGCACAGCAACAACGTGTTCTGTGACGTTTTCAAACACCGTGTCCAAATCTCGAAACAGCAAAAATTTCCGCTGATCGACAAATCGCCACGAATGTTGGGACCGCCGGCTAAAAGTTTGAAGATTTTGTTGTGACCCTGTACTTCAGTAACAATTGCAGTCGTATGAGAAGTGAAGGATAGCAGGCTGTGGAATGTGATTCCCAGTAACTTTGGTTTGTTAGTTGTCATAATTTTTACGCCATAGACTTCCGCATCGAGCTCGAGCTGGTGAAAGTGGTAGCCGAGGTGGCCACTACAACCTGGTGGTGGTAGCTGTCGTGAAGGGAAGAAGTGGGAAATGTCGGCGTGAAAGTTATATACTTTCGAACATAAGTTATCAATATCCTTCAAAAGCAATTTACGTCCTGCTTATCCCGTTCCCGTATTGGTGAATTGAATTAGGGAAGCGATACCCAAATGGAATGGAATCAAATTTAAATAAGGAGTGACAACATCTTGACCTTGGTGGCGACCAATAAAGACATAAGGCCTCTGTATTTCAGGTTTGGCAGCAGCAAAAATGCGTGTCAGTGATTTTATGTGAGAACCATGTCTTCTGAGCATTTGATGGAATCTACTGCGAATATTAAAGAATTAAAGAACTTTAAGTTAAGGAATGTGTGATAAGCTAGAGAAATGCAAATTATAGGACATGCAAACCAATATTTGTATATAAACCTAAAAAAAAAAACTTACAATTTCAATCGAACATAAAAACCCGCTGGCATGTTCCAACGTCGGATTTAAATAACTTTGAGAGTATTTTTTAATTTTCTAACCATATTAATATAAAAACCATTGCAAAAAAATTTATACAGTATCCTCAAAAATAGTTTTACTAAGCTATTGAATGAAATAATAAAAATCAGAATGCAAATATACGGTATTCTTAAACTTTTCACAAAATTTCTTGTAATAAAACAATCTTTCTTCAAATTCATTGCATCGGGAAACTCTGGCTGTGTTTCACGAAACCCTGGCAGCTTCAAAAAACACTGGTTTAAATGATTTGACAAACGAGAAACGATACCGATGTAACAGTGTGACAGTAATCAAAACAAAAATGGGGTTAGGTTACTTGATAGACTGTACAATGTTGCCGTCGTGCTTTTACAAAGGTTTGCACAAATATTAGTTTTTAGGAATCCCCGCAGAGTCGCATTCTTAGGATGATATTTAAATCGATTACAAATATTATTGTAGAATTACATTTCAAGTTACTTTATACATATTATTCATTTTATTTATGATAGGTTTTCTCAGCTCGCTTCAAATATATATTATATGTATGTAAGTACATTAGGTTGGCCCTTAGCTGTATGGGGAGGGAAAAGCGTTTCTGTACACGATCTCACTACATAGAAATGTGCGAATGCCACAAAAACTAAATTATACAAAGTTTAAGGTCAAACAAGAAAATATTTAGTGGTGGCTCACAGCGATTTTTGCCTTTTTCTTATTTTAGCTTTCCATATTATTAATATTTTTTATGGAATCTCTTCAATTTTTAGTACGTATATGCAAATACGACAGATTCAGATTTTTCAAAAACAACAAAATTTTCAGGCGAATAATAATGAAGCTATAAAAAAATAAATTAGTTGTAGGAAAAAGAAATCCATAATTTTTCCAATAGATGGCGTTATTTGTCTGTATCTCGCGTTGTATAACTCCCATCGGGCTCGACTAGATGGCTTTAGAAAGATGACATTTCGTACTAAAAAAGCTTCTCTGACAGTTTTATGATTGTTTCATTCAGTTTGATTTGAGCGTGCTCTAAAGATGGACACTAGCAAAGGGAAAATACGCTCTATTTTGCAGATTTTCTTCCTTATGGTCTTGATACTATTAACGTCAATCATGCAAAATTTCGGTTGAAAGCACTATTTCCATTGCCCAGGAGCTAAAGATTGCACAAAAAACCTTTTGGAACCATTTGAAGAAAGCTGGATACAAAAAGAAAAAATTAAAGCCATCAATTTTATGCAAAAATAATTGATTTCTTTTTACTACACCTATATATATATATATATATATATACTGAGTTTTATTGTTAATGTTTTTATTATTGAAACAGAAATTTTTATAATAAATTAATAAAAATTGTGTATAAGTACAAATTGAATTTTAACTATTAAGGGCTTTCAAGAATGATTTATTGTGTGACTTGTGACAAATATCGCTTTCTTCTTCATAACTGGTTAAGATTCTATTATATTCTTTAATAAGTTTTACGCCGCATTCTGCAGTGTCATTTCATCTTTTATATTCGAAACAATGTCCTTTCCTTCTTCATAGTTTCCATATCATCTCATCACCAAATCGAACAAAAAATAATCCATTGAAGTTCTTTTTCTATAAATTAATTTTGTTGACTGGGCTTTGCAGGTAAACGTCTTACATATTCCAGTTCATTGTCGCAGTTGGCAGTGTTCATCAGATAAGTACCACAGTTGGTAGCAAATCTTTTTTTCATTGCAATATCGGAGTTTTTTATTCATAGCTCTGCATCCTCGAGCTTCCTTGATAAGGTGCTTTGGAGGGATTATGACATTTTAACCATAGTTTAACATAAAATCTTATAATAATAATAGCGAAATAGTTAAATTTTCAAACAAAATATCGCCTTCGATATGCAACGTGCATGAAGAGTACGACCAGTAGGTAACAACGTTTTTCGGATCGTTAAAATTACATAACGTTAATTACTTAACGATAATTTTAACGATTTCGCAATTCTCTAAGTACAGCGATAATTCTAATGATTTTAATATTCGATGTACTTATTTTAACGATATTCGCCTCGCTGTGGTCGATAACTACTCGACAAATCGCTAACTAAGCGACGAATATTTTTAAGTTGTTAGCGATATCGACAAAGTATTGTTAGTTCATGAATCTAAATCGGGAAATTGCTTAAATTATATAAAAATCCAAATAAAGTTATAAACAAAAATGGCTTTTGAACATTTGGCATACGTTTTATCCCAAGATGAGGAGGTATTTTACTCTTCATCATTGGGTAAAAGTTTACTTCCGGAAGTTGAAGATCGCTTCCACTTGAATGCAACTGAGTTTCTTGATAGCCAACTAAAAGGCAGAAAATAACAACACTATCTACGGAGGAACAGGTGGTAATTTAGCTTTTAAATATTTTTTCCAGTTTTTACACTATTAAAATGTTTAAAGGTTCTAGCTGCTGATTCTTTGCAACTGGATGCTAACAATGTCCCGTCCCAGAGCAATAGGGAATGCCCAGTAGTCAGTCCTCAGTAAGCTATTATATGCATCCCGTGGCAGAAGCAGTCAACCGCTCAATGTCCGTTCCTGCGAAGGTAAAATTTCCCAATACGTCGCCATTTGCTGGAGGAACTATTGGGGCTATCGATTGCGATGAAGCCTATGTTAAACTACCTGAATTCCATCCTAACAACGAGCAAATGGTAAGAGTACATTTTTTTCAATTACTATTGAAGTAACAAAGTTCATTATATTTGTATACAGATATGTGATTATTATCCCAAGATTATAGCGGCAAATGCTAACTACCCAAGAGCGCAGCACAATTATTTTATTTGATGCATGAAAATGCAAACCGTAACATTTAATAAAAAAAATTTTTTTAACAAATTTATTTGTTTTTGTCATTTCTCTTTTTTTTCGTATTGTTACGATTTTACTAAATCAACCTCGATGATTTTCTGAATCCTTCGGGTACGATCTCTGGATTGTTAAATAAAACTCGCCAACTTAATTTGCTGTTTCTTTCGTTATAAAGATTTTATCTAATGTCCTTTATTTACTCCGTAATTCACAATTCAATTACAAGGCACTTTACTAGCTACAATCACTTGCATCAACTTTCACAATTTACTTTACTTAAATGTAATCTCCAACGCGTTTACTTTCCGACTTTACTGATGTTCACGCCAACCAGTTCACTTTGTAACTAACTTAACTTGGCAGCTGAGTGTCCCCTTATATAGCAGTCGGCTGCTCGCAGACGAAAGCGTAGAAGCATCGATTTGTTCGCTATCGAAGGTTCTTGTTTTATCGTTTCTAGAATGTACTAGTTATCGGCTTCTCTCTTTCATCTGACATTCGCCTCGCATTTTCGCCACAGTATATTTTGACTTTTGTTTAAGCTGTGGTGCCATCTTTCCTTCACGTTAATAAAATGGAAATGTTCGTAATGTCGATTATCGTAGAAACTCAGTTAGAGAATCGCATAATCGTTAGGGCAAGCGGCAAAATTCGGAACTTTGCGATGCGACAAATCGTGTCGGTAAAAGTTGCTGAATTGCACTGCAGGTCTGCGAAATTTCATCTTATCGCTAGCTTTATTAGCTATGTATGTATATTGTGGACACTTCCAATAATTCTCTATAGTCGCCTCTAATTTTATTCTTGTTTGCAAAAATGCATAATATTTTTGGTGTAATTTAAATTTGATTGAATTTTTGAAACTATTTTTGTTAGCGCCCTTCCAGTTCTCTGGAATTCGTCGAACTAATGGAATATCTTTATTGGTATTCAGTGGAAAATAACATTCGAAAACTGCTCTCAGTAAAAGTTCATACATATGAAGTCGACAAGGTAAATACAATAGTTTGCGTTCAAGTTGTTTTCTAATAATTTTGCAGCCCCCTTGATTACGCTCGTGTTGGCCGCAGTCGTATCAAAGCAACAGGCTACAACCCGTTCTTCCAAATTCCGTTCAAATAGAAATTCATACAATGCATCAGCGATTTCTGAACAAGTTGTAGCGGTTAACCTTGGAACTCCAATCTTTGTTGTTCACCAATTCACAATTTTTTTGCAAGCAACGACAATTTGCGTCGTTCGACGTTTTCACGAGCTGTTATTTCTGGTTGTAGTTTTCCATCCCAACGTAAGATACCGCGATTCATCTATTAACAGAAGTTTCATATTTATTTGTATATTAATTTTCAGCGCACAGATTGTGACATTTTAGCCCCGTCTAAATGTCCTAGACGCTGCAATGGTACACGATTTACTACCGATTCATCCGAGCTCCCATCCGAGCTCCTGGCGCTTTTGGCGCGTCATCAAAGACGTGTGTGGCCTCTTCTGAATGTCTGCTGCCTTCAAGCGGTCCATTTGTTGGTAGTAGAGTGCTGAATTGAGCGTGTGGTCATAGGGGAGCATCTCGTAGTAGATAATTCCTTGCCAATCCCAACAAACAAACAGCAAAACCTTCCTGACCGTCAATCCGGTCTTGGCAACCGACTGGGCCACTTCCTCGAGCTTTGTCCACAACCGTTTGCACTCCATGTTGTCGTAAGTGACCCATTTTTTATCGCCAGTCACAATCCGCTTCAGAAACGGGTCGATTTTGTTGCGATTCAGCAGCGATTCGCAGATGGAAGTCCGGTCCATCATGTTTTTTTTTGCGTTAGTTCGTGTGGCACCCAAACATGGAGCTTCTTTATGAATCCAAGGTTATGCAAATGGTTCCAAACGGTTTTCCGGCTTGTCTTTAGTTCCTTAGCAATTAACTAAGTGCTCACGTGACGGTCTGTTTCTACTATTTATGATTTTATCACAATTTTCCCGACGCGTGGTGCATTTTTGCCATTGAAATTACCGCAATGGAACCTAGCGAACCAATTTCCTGCTTCACGTTTGTTTACAGTATCGGGCCCAAACTAAACAAAATTAGTTTTTTTAGCCGAACTTTTTACTTGATTTAATATAATAATTTTGAGCCGTTTGGAATATTCTTAGGGGTCGAGACCGATAATCCGATCTCAATTTAAAATAAGTTCAACTCTAATGTACATCTGTATGATCAAATTGTTATCATTAAATGAAGAATTAAAATCTGACTACTGAAAACTGTGTTTTCCATTTAATGCAAATGTTGCGTTAATTTTGGGACACCCTATATACGAGTATGCTACAGTTATTGATAACACTTAAGGAAATATATATGTATTATTCTTACACGCTGGCTCATGCTGGCAAACTGATAAGCATTTTCAGACATACTTCTCAGGAATTTGTGCATTTATATTCGCAGAATTTTCAAAGTTATTTATATACAAATTTCGAGAGAAGATTTCCAATAAACGACTCTGCGAATAAGAGAGCTTCTATGGAAAGCAAAATCTCTATCTCGATTCGGCATTTATGAATATTTTTTAATAAACAAATCTGGCATGTTATTGAGAGAAGCGCAGTCACATTAGTTATTTAAATGATATGAAGATTCTCTATAAAAAAAATCGCGTCTTCGACACAAAGTGTTATTACCCAGCAGCAAAAGGTAGGATCTTGAAAGCGAAGAGGTGAAGTGAAAATTGTGTTTAATACAGGAAACACTCACGAGGGTAAAAGTACGTTTCGTATGAACTGTCGCCATCAAACTGATGGAAGTAGTGAAGCTGGGCAAGTGGACGGACACCACGTAGTAACTAGACTACTGTCTAAGGTTTTTTACAAAAAATAAGAAAACGTTTAAAATGAAATTTAATATAATAATAAATATATATAAAAATTTTATATCTAAAATAAATTTATTTGATACAGAAATTAATTTATAATCTTTTAACAAGTTTAATTTTTATGTCCTTCTCACCTTTTTAAAAGGATTCGCTTCGTGCATCTCGGGTGAAAAAAAAAAAATATTCGAGGAAGAGAGTTTTTTAATTGAAGAGTTATAAGTTACTAGAGGTAGCCCGCGACTTTATGGGCTTGGAATTCTGAGATTGTTCTAATGCGGTTTTTATTAGGTGTTTGGGTTGTTTCTTTTATTAAAACTGATAAACTACTATGCTTAAATAATATATATGTGATCGAAAGAAAAGTTTTCCACACTTCGTCCACGCAAAGAGCTATCTACGTGTATATTCCATGTATCACGATTTTTCCGAACAGCTCTCCACATATTACTCTTGGGAAATAATTACCTGCATAAGTTCCCCATATTAAGTAAAACCGAACCATCGAATCGGTTTCAGAGCCACTTCACGGAAGAAAAAGGGCCAATATTTAATAAATACAACTTTGTCAAATACATTGGTCCAGGGTCCTGAGCTACCTGTGCACCAAATATTTTTTATATAAAACTACTTTTTTCCAATAGTTCGGTCCCAGGTTCATATCCCTGAAAATCTTTTCTTATCCGCTGCATAGGTCATAAGTAGAACACATCCTTTAAGTTTCTGTGTTTCTCTACAATCAGTGCTTTAGGCTGTGGGTTGATCCATCAGTCATTCAAGAGAAAGCGAAAGATAGACTTTCTTTTTATTAAAAATCAGTTTATAATGAGTTTGTACTACATATTTTGGTTCAAAAAGTCTTGTTTTTATAGATTCGACAGTCCGGTTAATGGAATGCAAATTAAACTTATTTTTAATGTACGCACAGTGTGGCCGGTAACTGAAAATTTATGGAAAAAAATTAATTCCAGTGATCGAACGGCCTTTTTTTTCATTATTCTATACTTCACATTTAATTTAATTTTTTAATTAAAATTTATAATAAATAAGCTGGCATGAAAATAGAAAATTGAATGAAGTGTGATAGAATTTACAGGATCGGTGTGTATCCTCCCTAGGATCATTTAAGGTAAAAATAGCAGAATTTCTTTGTAAAATGGGTCCACAATCATATTTAACGGGGAAAAAGGAAACCATAGTTAAAGGAATACGTAAAAAATACGATCTTCATAAACATAGTAAAAAAAAGTTATATAATGTATAATGTGAGAAAAAGCCATCTTCTGTTGTTTTTAAAATAAATGCGACCAATTAACACTGTATAACAACGTTATATGTACAGGGTCATCCATTTCGAAACACAGAAAACTCGAACCTATGCCCCATTGAGCTTATTATCATTCGAAAGAACATTCTTTGACATTTATTTTTTGAAAATTCCATTCGTTTAGTTCAATTTTCAACGATTCGTTCCAGCATTTTGGCTGGTGGCTGGCGAATGACACACGTGAGTTTTTGCTTCAAGGCCTGAATCGTAGAGGGGTTGCCCGCATATTCTCTAGACTTTACATTATCCCGACAGGAAAAAGTTTGGCGGTGTGATAGCGCATAATCGTGGTGGCCAATCGAACAGCCCAAAACGTGGAACTATCTACCCAACGTAGTGTTCTCTCAAAAAATCCGTTGATTGATGGCATGTGTGGGAAGTGGCGCCGTCTTGCTGAAACCAAATGTCGCCGAAACCACGAGCTTCAATTTCAAGCATCAAATAGTTGGTTATCATGGTGCAACAAACAAACAAAGGTCTCCATTGACGGTTGCGTTCACACCGGCATTGTTTTTGAAGAAATATGGACTGATGATTCCACCGGCCCAATACCTACACCAAATCGTTTTTTTTTCTGGCCTCATCGCTAACAAAAAAATTTGGCTCGAAATCGTCGGATCTCCTTGAAACTTTTCAAGAGCCCATAGCGGTGCCGCTTGAGAAGGTCGAGCAGCTTCAGTTCTTGCACAAGCTGTATTTTGTATGCTTTCAATTTTAATATCTCGACTTAAATACGCCAAACAGAATCCAGAATAATCAACATATAGTGACGTGATCTTTTCGGTCGCGTCAAATTTCGTTGTTCAGGCAAAAGTCTTTCCATGATGAAATGCCAAAGAATACGGACTGCTTGACGCGACTTACACGTGATGTCAGAAAAATGTTATCTAGAAAAGTCCCTCTGCTTGGGTCAACCATATTGGTTAACCTTACTATTGCAGCGATAGATAAATGTATATATATACATATATATAATAGTACTACTCCCTCTTTAGATAACAGGTAAAGATGAGGAGCTCTGCTATTGTAAATTAGACCAGGTATTTAGAGGTGGTGAGTAAGCTCGTGTTAAACTTTTTTTTCCCGCCTTTACGGAGATATTTTTATTTAGATGTTGGAAGGTTCTATTCCCTCCCTGTAAATCTAGTTGCGAGGACCTACCCCACTATCTCTCTAAGACACGTACGAAGACGAACGTTTGCAATTAATCAAAAAGGAACTCGAATTTTATTTAATGTTTTGTCAAGGTGTCCACCAACCAAATGTTTTGACATAAATATTAGTATGAAAGCAGAGAGCGTTTACCGCATCATGTCCATGAAAACTCACCACTGTAGGTCGGCGGCCGTAGGCGTTACAATAAGTGAATTGAAAAATTTATATTTTTTATTCGTTAGAACCGCTTCTTTCTCTGCTCTACCATTTTCTTTTTTTCTGCTTTCTAATATTAATATAATAAATTCCTAAATTGTCATGAGCATGTCAACCCCCCCGAGTGTAGGTCTGACATGAGATAATTGCTCTTCATCACAATCCATCAGCTTTGCAGAGGAAACTTCATTCTCCATTTGTTAGAAAAAATATATCCACATATGGATACGTACGAGTATGTATTACAGGTATCCAATCTGATCGTAGGCGACAAAAATGTGTCCACATACCGAATTTCGTTCAAGCTAACCTTAGATCTTGACTTTTCCGGCTCAAGCTGGAAAACTTATTTTCATTCGCGATTGATAAAACAACAATTCTACATTCCACAGTTTTTTTTTTTCGAATACCCCCACCTGTCAGGCATATGTATGTGTGCTGTGACATCAGCCATGACGAGGATACACATTTTGGAGTTCTACAATTCAATATTCCTCTTAGGTCAATCTATAGAGATACTTTTCCATTTCGTAGTGCTGAAATCCCGAAATAATTCAAACAGAAAATTCTTCGATTTAGTAAAAAAAATAAAGATAAGCCATTCAGATGATTAACCCTCAGCCCGTCAACGCCTTTAAGAGATCAAAAGATTTTGGATAATAAATCTGTGGTGAGCAACTGCAACTACACATTTTGCTTAATTTTTTATTATATCCTTTGAGGCAAAAGAGCTGGTCCATTTTAGTTGTAACCTTAATATTTGTTGTTATTTTCATTTATACTTTTCTTCATTTTAGCAGCTGCTTGCTCTACACATCCTTTTGTTGTTGTAACTTTAATAGTCGATCCATTTCTGTGGCTGCTTTTAAATTTTAATTTGAAGTGACGGCGCCGACATGCCACCAGCAGGATATACCGCGATGTTGTGGCAGCAATATTTCATACACACATATGTATGATACATATACATATGTACATAGCCGTTGTGGTCATTCATCTTCATTTCTGTATTTTGCGATTTCATCCCAACCTCGCTCTGATTGAGTATTCGAGCCGGGAATCGCTAAGAAATGAGTGTGTTGAAATCACCAGAAGGTGTTTTACTTTTAATAAGAATTATTACCTTTTAATTAAGGTGATTTGGTGTTGGTTGAAACTGGTTGAGCAAAAGGCAACATACATAAATGTTAAATAATCTTACCAAGAGCAGACAGTCTGAGGATCATTTAAATGTTATACACATACATGCTGTTGTGTGAATGTATGCCTCGTCTTACTTTCAACATATTAAGACCGATTTGAGAAGTTTAAAAATTTGAAATTTTATTTGTATGTACATACATATGAGAATTTCACTCTCTTGCCATGCACCATGGTTGGTTGGATGAGGTGGTTGTCGGGCATCAGCTCACCAAGGCCACAAACGCACCCATAGGGATATCACTAAGGCTACTAGTGACTTCCACCGGCTAATCGAACCAATGTGTGATGGGTAAAAAACTGAGTAGTCGCCGCATCTTGGTCCCCGCTATCTCGATAAGGTCTCCAAAGGCTGCTACCCCCAGAAACTTCATTCTACTACTTCGGGGCATTCGCAGGGAAAGTGATTTAAGGTTTCAGATTCTTCGTCTTGTCTACAACTTCTGCAGAAGTCGTTAGATGGTACGCCCAACCCCTCTGCGTGCCTGCCAATGAATGCGCCCAGAAAGAAAACCCATAACGTTAGATATCTTCTTTCATTTTAGCTCAATAAGGTCACGAAAGGTCTGAAAAGAATAATATTTATCAAAACGGGCGAATTGTTCGGCAACACATAGTTAGGTTCGGCGATCACAGTGGGCCGGCTTAGTGATTTAAGGGCGGTCGTCCAGAGTCAGGTCCTCAACCTTCCCATTTCAACTAACCAAAAGCAACCTTCGATTAAAATTTACCAAGGTACCTATGCAACAGCCAACGACCGGAATAGTCGAGTGATTAGCAGTGCCTACTACCATTCGGAAGGTCATGGTTTTAGTCTTGGTCGGACCATTATCCAATTGATTAAAAAATAAAAAAGTTAATTTTACAATAATAATTGCGGTCGCCCGTCAGGGAATGGCAACCACTCCGAGTGTATTTCTGACATGAAATAAGAGCTTCCCACAAAAATTCATCAGCCGTTCGGAGGCGGCCGAAAATCGCTTCAGCGGTTGGCTACAAAGCGCTAATTATATTATATATATAATCGTATGTATTTAACGCTAAATATTTCGGCAACCAAAAATGGCAAAAATTTTAATATCGTGCAGTGATTAGATTCTTTGTTTTAAAAGGTCGAGTAGAGTCCGACGTGGTGAGCAGTCGTGCGGTTATTCGAGCTCGCGACTTTCACGTATTTTTGTGGTAAAAAAATTATTTAAAAAATTCAAAAGAAAGTAAAGGAAATTTATGAAGAATTATCACCTTCAAAACACCCCTGCGGGTTAGGGGTTCAAGAATTTACCCGCGGTAAGGCATGCCTGTCGTAAGAGGCGACTAAAATCCAATAGTTCCCGCGACAGTCGGGTCTTTATACCGGAACGACCCGGATTTTTATCCGGCCAAGGACTGTCACTCCCGCGATATTCCCCAAAAAGTACTTTGGGGAATAATTTTGCGGTTACAACAACAACAACAACAGGCTGGTGTATTTAAGCGTGATCCTACTAGGATTGAAGACAATCCCCGCAAAGGACAACGACCGCAACCGCAATTACACCAGAAATCATTGAGGAAGTTCATAGTATTCTTAGTGAAGATCCAAGTTCCATAGGCATCTCACACGAACGAGTACTTAATAACTTACATGAAGAATTACATATGGAAAAGCTGTTTAGAACGTTAGTGCCGCACACGTTAACAATTCAGCAAAAACTGGAACGACAAAAAAACTCTCAGCATATTTTGTAGCGTTTTAAGCAGAATAAAACCGATTTCTTGCGTTGTTTTATAACTATGGATGAGACCTAAATTCACAGTGATCCTAAATTCAAACAAAAACGTTTACAGTGAGATGAAGCTGGTTTTTCAGCTCTCAAGCTGGTGAAGTCACAATGATCACCAAAGAAGGTGATAAAAAAACTCGTGAAAAAAATACCTGATTGGCAGCACGAAATATCATCTTTTATCAAGATAATGCACCTGCTGATAAAGGTGTTTTAATACTGACAAAATACGAAATTAAGTACGAATTGCTTAAACATCCAACGAATTCACTTACGACTACTACCTTTTCAGAAACCTGAAACAATGCCTGCGTGGAAAGCGTTTGTCGTGGAATGAAGAAGCTGTTACAACCGTAGACGGGTGTTTTGGGAAGTCATTATTGGGATGGCATAAAAAATTATTGGAGGATCATTGGAATAAGTGTATTGAAGTTAAAGGAGATTATATTGAATAAAAAAATATATTTCATACCAAAAAACAATATTTTTCATTTCCAGCGCAGAAACTTTTCAACCAACCTGTATATTATACCCAAAATCACAAACTTGGCAAGTATTTGTCAGAACTCAACTTTAAATAGGAATCATTTAAGCCAGACGCAGGATTCGCTTTAAATAAATCTTTGCACGGTTTGTGACCGCACGACTCATTACGTTCTCTCAATTTATATGGAATAAAATCAGAATACTTGGAAACACCATGTATGCATCGCAGAGAAGAGATAGTGAGCGCCGATAATTATTTTATTATTATTATTTTTTTTTTTTTTATTAAAATTTCATGTAATAATAAATAAAAAATTGATTTAGTGGGAATCCATCAAAACTGATAAGGGATTTGGGAAAGAAACTAATGATGTAAAAGGTATTTTCACATCTATACAAACTATTTTTGTACCTACACACGCATTGACTTTGAATATATTAACAAATCGAAACTCATTTAGTTTAGTTGGCAAATTGTTGGTGACAAGGCAAGACAAGATTTTAGTGAAGGCGACTCCAGACTTTTCTCTACACAAGCATCAAAAACGCAGTATTCATTTGGCATTAAAAGGGCAAGGAGAGTGAAGCTCAATATGGATACGAAATACCTTGCAGTGGCATTATTATTTCTACTTTTTAACATAACATCGATATACGGCAATGCAATACCGTTAGTGAAGTCTGATGATATGAAAGTTCAAGATTTAACGCGGAAGCTGCGAGACACAGAATGGCATTTTTCTTCCGAACAAATCGAGAGTGGAGATGAAGCAGAATCAGTATTCAATTCTAAAACCTTTGTCAGCAATAGCCATACAGAAACACATTCGTCATTTAGGTCTTCACATAACACATTTAATAAACAATCGCATTCTTCTGGTTATTATAAAATATTTAATGTAAGAAAATGAAGCACTCTTACAATATCCATACTCGTATGGAAGTCATTTACGCTTTAGATATGTAAAATAGTTATGCTTATTATAGTTCTTATGCCTATGTATGTATGTTACATAATAAAAATGAATTTATTATATGATAAGAAACAACAAATTTGTTTATTGAATTGCTCTTGTTTATGCCAGGTTACTCTATTTAAAAAAAAAAATATTTTTCTTTAAATTTATAGTCTGCTCTAAACAGAAATAGAGAACGTCAGAGCACGATTTACTATTCTAACTTTTTCAGCAGAATAACTTGAAGATTAGAAAGTGAAAGAGGTCAGAATCTCTGGTGCAGTTCTGTAACTTTTATCTGTACTATGTGTCGAATTGCAAACTAGCAAATTTTGTGGCTTGCACCAGCGATTATGCGATTCGCTAACACATTTTTAAGGGGCACACCTAGTGTAATGGCCTAAAAAAATGGTGATTTTTGGGAATTTTTATTAAAAAAAATACTTTTTCAATTATTTCAAAATTTTAAGAATATATTTATACATATTTCAAGAATATACAGTGAAAGTTTTGAAGAAAAAAATTAAATATTTTTTAAGTTATAGTCGATCTCCAACGGCGCGAAAAATGGTCCTTCACTGCTGCAGTGATTCCGACCTTCTCTGTGGATGAAATCTAAAAGAAAAATTTTCTACTAGATAATATTGTCTGTACAATGACCTACGAAAAAAAAAAAGAAATCAAAAATTTACAATTTGGCGGCGTTTTAAAAAAATAGTCGTATTGTACCCAAAATTTTGGTCGTTTTTGCCCTGCCGAAATTCGATTTTTTGATCGGATCAAAAATCGATAGGTCATTGTACGGAGAACTATATGTAGAACATGTAAAAATTATTCGATAGTGATCGATTTATTTGTTTTTGAGTAATCACAGCAGCAAATTCGGAAAATGCTGTTTCGAGAAAAACGCGCTTAAAGATAAAATGATGTACGTCTTGTAGCTAATGAGACTCTCTGGCTGCCGAACGGCTGCTCTTTAAATTGCTATAACACAAAAACTATTTGAGATATCGATTTATGATTTTAATATGTTATTTTTAAAGGTGTAGTCTACCGTAATATCGATTTTTATTTTAAATTTCACACTTGGTGTGCCCCTTAACGATAATCAATAACGGACATATAATGGATGTACGTGGAAATGGAAAAAAGGTTGCACCACAGCTTGGCAGAACATAAAAATACAGGAAAAACATAAAAAATAATGGAAAAAAAAACAAAACAAAGTATTTATATTGAATAGATGAGTTACAATTGTTTGCAAAAGGTTAATAAAACAAAAACATGTTATGGTTTCTACTTTCGAAACTACGATGCATAGCTGCAAAGTAGCCTCAAATGAAAACAAAAATCATACCACGCCCCGAGATTACGATCATATATCTATGTACAAATACAATGTATTGTTCGAATTGGAAAAAATTTATTGTTATTATTTGCGTATTGATAGAATGGTTGGTTTCTGAGGCTTATGGGCATATGAGTGCAGTTGATAACCCCATAGTATCTCCAGCAAATGCATGGATACAATGACTTATCGACGACTGAGTCCATCGAAACGTTGATAGCATAAATACTTAAAAAATTTATTATTACCTCTGTTTCTATGTAGATATTTTTGTTATTTTTTTGCCCTTTTGTTGGTACACAAGTTGAGAAATGATTGCTTCGACTCATGTTAATCTATATAAATTGCGAAACTCAGTTCCGTTCAAGTGGAAAGGATCTTCCACTTTACGAAACAAAAGTCTATCCCATGAAGAATGATACGATACCTCTTCTTCTTGGGATAAAAGGCATACCAAATACTCAAAAGCCATTTTTGTTTATTATTTTTTTTTATATATTTGTAGCTTAGGTAATTTCTACTTTACTAATTATTTGTTGATATCGCTAACAACTTTAAACTATTCGTCGCTGAGTTAGCGATTTGCCGAGTAGTTTACGACAACAGCTGATTAATCGATAGCGAATATCGTTAAAATAGGTACAGCGAATATTAAAATCGTGAAAATTATCATTAAGTCATTGTAACGAGCCGAAAATCGTAGAAATATTCACAAAACAGAATCCCACCACTGATCAATATATGTACACGGGGCTCAGCAAACAATTTAAGTGGAAGGGTATATAAAAATTATCCATTTTATTAAATAATAGTTCAAAAAATCTTGAAAATTGTACATTTTGTTTAAAATAGCAATATTTAATGGAAAATCGCATTTGAACATTGTTGCCAGAAAAATATTTTTTGCTTGCTGTTTTTTTTTTTCGACAGCTGCTCTGCTGGTGATGCTATACCCTGCAAGAACGACCTGCAGTGCAATTCGGTAACTTTTATCGACACGATTTGTCGGATCGCAAAATTCCGAATTTTGCCGCTTGCGCTAACGATTATGCGATTCTCTAACTCAGTTTTTACGATGATCGACACTACGAACATTTCCATTTTATTAACATGAAGGAAAGGTGGCACCACAGTTTAACAAACCCTCAAAATATGCGAAGAGCACAAAGAGAAATGACAAAAACAAATAAGTTTGTTATAGAAATTATTTTTATTAAATGAATAGCAATGCATTACAAAGTTTATCAAATCAAAAACATGTTACGGTTTGCACTTTCATGCATGACTCTTCGCTCCAGTGAGGAGCTTCAAATAAAATAATTGTGCTGCGCTCTTGGGTACTTAGCATTAGCCGCTATAATCTTGGGATAATAATCACATATCTGTATACAAATATAATGAGCTTTGTTACTTCAATAGTAATTGTAAAAAATTTACTCTTACCTTTTGCTCGTGTTAGGATGGTATTCATGTAGGTTAACATAGGCTTCGTCGCAATCTATAGTCTCAATAGTTCCTCCAGCAAATGGCGACGTATTGGGAAATCTAACCTTCGCAGGAACGGACATTGAGCGGTTGACTGCTTCTGCCACGCGATGCATACAATAGCTTACTGAGGACTGACTACTGGGCATTCCCTCTTGCTCTCCGACGGGATATTGTTAACATTCAGTTGCAAAGAATCGCAAGGCAGCTAGAACCTTTAAACATTTTAATGGTGTAAAAACTGAAAAAAATATTTGAAAGCTAAATTACCACCTATTCCTCCGTAGCTATCTATCAAGAAACTCAGTTGCGTTCAAGTGGAAACGATCTTCAACTTCCGGAAGTAAGCTTTTACCCAATGAAGAAGTGTACAATACCTCCTCATCTTGGGATAAAACGTATGCCAATTGCTCAAAAGCCATTTTTGTTTATAATTTTATTTGGATTTTTATATAATTTAAGCAATTTCCAGATTTACCATAATGAAACAACAATACTTTGTCGATATCGCTAACAACTGAAAAATATTCGTCGCTTAGTTAGCGATTTGCCGAGTAGTTATCGATAACAGCGAGGGCGAATATCGCTTAAATAAGTACACCGAATATTAAAATCGCTAAGTATTCTTTGTGATCCGAGAATCGTTATACTGTACTTAGAAATGAGCGAAATTGGTAAAATTATCGCAAGGCATTTTAGCGATTCAAAAATCATTATAATACGATAGAAAATTCCCCTGCTGATGGGTACACTCACACTATTTCGAGCAGCACTAACACATAAGCAAAATTTTTTCCTTTCTTTCTCTTCAGTATACATGGAAATTAATGAAAAAATCAGTTTCATTTTATGTTCTTATTTTCGAATACAACGCTATTTTTCTTCATTTTCTCCGTAGCGGATAGAAGTGAAAAACATATGATGATCCTATACAAGCTGTGGTAATAATATTATATATTGTCTATTAATTAAGTACTCCATATTGTACGGAAAATTCAGCTAATGCAACAGATTAATGGGAATGGAGGCTTCTCATATTGCAGCAGTAGCAGATTTATGAGTATTCGACAAAATTTTAAGTGGTAGAACTGCATTTAGATATTAATAACATTCTGATTCGAACATTTAGTTTTTTAATTTACTTAGACGTGTTTAAACTTTAGAGAAGCTGAATCACCAACGCATGGCACTATTAAAGGCTTCTGCATATAAGGTTTGGCTTACAGCATTTTGCAGATTTTCGAAAACGAATTTATTGATTTTTGTTATTTGTTTTTTTTTTTTTTGTGCTATATAAAGCATGTACCTGATCTATGTAAAGATATTGGAATAAAGACTGAATCTTAATGAAGTTTGCTTGTTGTTTCGATTGCTTGTTCGTTGAGAAATGTCAGTAAAAACCAGCAAGTAAAGAAATTGAGAGAGTAAGATATCTTACTCTGCCAAAGTGAGCAAAATGACATTGATCGTGGAATCGTTATGATAGCCGAGTGGTTAGAGGTTATCGCTGTAGCGCGTTAATCTTCCAGTTCGAATCCCGCTGGAGATAAATTAATTTTTAATTTTTTTTTTTTTTAATATTTGGTGAAACAGAATTTTTTAATATTTTCTTATTTTTTTTATAATTTTTGGTAGAACAGAAATTATTACTCCCCGCTTGTTGTTTTTGTTTTTAGTCTGACACGGCTGAGTTTCGCTTCCTAAAAACTTCTGTTGGGGTGCGCAGATTTCATTCCTCCATATATCACAACGATAATCTGGTGGTTAGAGGTCTTCACTGTGGTGTTTGAGGGTCCGGGTTCGAATTACGCAGCTGGCGAGCTGAGTTTTATTTGATTTAGTTTTTTTTTAGTGAAATAGAAATTCAACATGTCTAAATGAACTAGTATTAAACTAGTATGAAGCTGATGCATAAAGGACAATTGTCAGCTGGTAGAACATCGCCGTGTTCAAAATACCAGTTGCTTACAAGGAAAATGGATGAAGATGAACTAGTTGATGTAAACATGTAAACTACAATAGTTGGATTTCAGTTCACAACTTCGCTTCGAATTTTCTTCTTTGGTCGTCACTGCTTTCTGGTAAATTAAAGAAATCCAAAATCAATCGTTGTACTAGAAATAATAATATATTCTAATTCTATGCCTTCCTAATATCTATTTTCTCAACGAAAAAATTTGTTTGCTGTCAATGCTGTCGCTCAGCTGTGTTCTGTTTATCCGACGAAAATGCACAAGAAAACGAAGAGAGA